TTATCATTCTATTCCTTGAATTTCCACCAACGATGTTTTCACTCCCCTTTTAGTCAGAGAATTCATTGTAGTAATAAATACAATAAAAAGGCATACATAATTAATGGATTCTTTATTGTGTATAATTAAAAGGATATTTTACTATAAACGAAGCATGATAGATCCACAGGGGGATAAAAGAAGCATGAGTCTTGATGAAAAAGGGGAAAAAAATCACCATAGATAAAAAATCATTATAATCAACCTAATTGGAACTGCTTAGAACAAAAGCGGATTAAAATCTCCCCCAATGAAATTCATTTGCAATTTCATAGGTAGTCCCTACTTCCACTTCTATAATTTTGAGAAAACATTGCAATTTCATCAATAGTCCCCACTCGTGGGCCAATTTCAATTGCAACCAAATTTGCACCCTTGCAATAGCTTCTCACATCATAGCAAGTGTAGGATGCAATTGCACCTCCTTGCTTAGGGATGACCATTACTGCATCTCGTCACCTGTCTTAGGGAAATTAGCCATGGCAAATTCACAAAATACTGCATGCATAGAAAAATATTTGTCTGGATAATTAAAAAAATGGGAGACTTTCCTAGTCAGATGATGTACTGGCTCCCCTCAGTACCTGACAGTTTTGAGTGCTGGAGAAAAAGACTGGAAAAAAAAAAAACAACGAAGCCTTACAGTAAACTTCTTAACAAAATACATCCAATGCTGGCCCCTTCACTGCTCCACCCCGCCCTGCATTGCTCCACCCCGCCCTGCATCAATCGACTCTCATGTAAGCCGAGGACGTTTGCTTGAGGATGCCTCAGGGGTCTCTTCATGCTCCGTATGCCGAAGGTCATAAAAAGTATTGGTCACTTCGACGATACGGTAGACTGGCAAATAGGCGGAATGGTCCTCCCTAGCATAAACCCCCATATCCATCCCAACCCTTCCAAGAAAGGTGGTCAAGAAGGTGGCATATGGAAAGGCTGTGTACCAGTTTTCCCCTCTAGGAGCAGCCTCAACCATGTTCACGCACATGAGAGATGCGAGGTTAAAAGGAACACCTCTTTGAGCTTGCACAAGGATAAACAGGTCAAGTCTACGAATTATCGAATGACCACTGTACCTTGGCATGAAGCAGTTGATAATCATCCAATGGAGGAATCGAAGAGGATCTGGGAGGAAAGAAGCCTGGATGCGCCCATTCGTCAGTTTCCCCAGTTCAACTTCAAAATCAAAATCGTACAGCCGCCGAAGATCGCTTCTGCTATTAATGTGGTGTCCTGCGGCGGGGAGATCGAGGATCTCAGCAAACTGATCAGGCTGGAAGCAGGCTCTATAACCCAGGAAGACCGACACGAGATGAGAATCGGAGGGACCAGACAGCTCTAAATTGTGGTAGAACTTCCTCACCACATGCGGGTAGTAACTGGTGCTTCCTCGACTCCGGAGATCGAAGAACTTTTCCCAGCCAAGATTTTTAATTAACTGCTTCACTTCTTGAGGGAAAGGGGACAGGTGGATGAACTCGTACTCGGCCACAATAGATGTCTTGCTCGTGAATGAAAGATAGTCCGCGAGACTTGTGGTGGATCGGCAGTCGTCGTTTGATAGAGTTAGAATGCCCATGTTTGCCATGGAGTCAGAGGAAGAAGGAACAAGGGAAGGTGAAGATGGAGGAAAGAGGGATTGTAGGGAAAGAGAGATTGTAGGTGTAAGAAAAAGTGATCGTGGGGGTTGAGTGTGGAGACGTGTGATGGAGACGGTTGAGTCTGGAATGTCAAGAGTTAGAAGATTTGGGAAGATATGTAGTAATGATGATGTTAACTCGTGTAGGTTAAACTAGGGTAACTAAAGCTAGTTAAACTAGGGTTGGCGCTGATACCGCAGGAGAAAACTAATGGGCTCGCACGTTCCAGGCCCACTTTTGAATATTGCATGGGTCATGTACAAGCCCACGTTTGAATGTTATTTAAAAGCCTGCAAAAATCAATGATCAGACCCAGTCCAACTAGAATTAGTCCTAAACGCACCGTTAATACATAAACACAAACTAAGGAGACCTCTCCATCCGATTCGAATCAAATTATGTGTTCTTCATCTTCTTCCTCAATCCTCTGGGCGAGACGAACACTACATATCTGGAAACCTAAATTTCACCGAGTGATAGAAGTTTCGAGAAAATGACAATAACGCTAAGACAAGATGACAAAGCACTAGGGACATGAACCCTAGGGTTAGCAAACCTCTTTCAAGGGTTCTTTTGCAAATGAAAAGTTCGATGAACACAATAATAGACATGGTCTCCGTAATCGTGTTAGAAAGAGATAGGCGAGGGGAAATACAATGGCGAAGAAGAAACAAGACAAATTTTTTTTGGGAAATTCAATTTACGTCGAATGTGGATGGGGAGCTTCTCTTTGAACTGTGAAGGGGCGTCCCTCCAAGATGAGAGAGGGATCGTGTAATTGATTAGGGAGACTGGAAATTGGTTTGGGCGGCAGTGGGTCTACCCAATTGGGTTTGGGTCTTAATCCATTTAATTTAATCGGGGCAGTTAGTTGGACTAGGATGAAAACAAACTTAACGCGGAGGAGGCTTTTTGTAATTTGTTTAGTTATTTAGTGGCGCAGTTAGGTTTGACAAACGTGAGCCGTGGAGATTGATAACGAACGGTTAAGATCGGCCAAGGTACCCGTACCCGGCTTTTGCCCTGGGCACCGTAGAAGTCACCATATATATATATATAAAATAACCAAGAAAAAGAAAATTTGTAAAAATGAATATACCTTTATTAAGAAACACATTTGCTCATCAATAGCTTCTCAAACTCATCTCAACCGAGGAGGTCTTATTATAAGACCACAAAAACTTATCAAGAGACTTTGTATTACCTTCCTCTAATTTGGTTATAATTAATAATCCTCTCTGTACTGACTAGGTCTTAGATCAAAAGATTAATTTGTAAAAAACTAATTGCAGCTATCATTAATTATATTTCTATTGGGAAATCCTAATCCCAGTTAGCTAGAAAATTACATAAAAATGAAGAAAAGTAGAAGAACAAGACAAGCAAACACAATATTAGGTATTAACACCAAACAAAAGCAAACAACTAGCAAGATACGTAACTTTTGGAGACTCTAATCAATTTCAAAAGATTGTACGAAGGAAAATCCTTTTCATAATTACGTAGGCGTCATCTGTGTCCTATCCGAACTGTAATCATCATCACGAGACTTGATCATCTGTGTCTTTTTGTTACTCTTCTTATGTATGTGCGTAATTAGTGGTCATAGCTATTAAAATTCAACAACCAAAAATTATAGATCCCGGCACACTTAAAATTTCAAAAATAGGAGAACATAAAACTATTAGCATCATATATGTATATACGTACTCAATCCAGCAATCCAGCAATCGCGCTAGAGGAGAGACAGAGGTTGCAGACCATTAGTTTGTAGAGAGCCCTCGCAGATTGGCAGGCGCCTGCAAAAGATAAGAGGTTAGTACTTAGAGGAAGAGTTTTTGTGATGGTGGTGTATTGAAAGAAGGGTTTTTTGTATAATACGAGATAAGGAAACAAATTAATTCGCTAATTAAGAGATGAGGAAAAAAAAATCACGGGAGATCTTTTCTCCTTCCCAATAGTTTGTTTCCTTGTTAGTTGTTACCCAATATTTGGGTTTATCAGTTTTTATTTTACTTATTAATTTACTTTAAACGAGCATTTTACATTTTTTTGCAACACAAGTTTAAAAAATGTTGCATAAGCTATACAATCGGGCAACATAAAATTTATTTGTGATATATGTGTTGCGTATAATAGAACAAACGCAACATATGACTAATTTGAGTTGCGTAAACAACTCAATCCGCAACCCCATAAAAACGTGTTGGCATTATATATATAACGCAACACTTTCAAATAGTGTTGCAACCCGGGTGTTGCAAGAGGTGTTTTTTCCCGTAGTGCATGGGTATCAACTTTCGACCCGCAATGCGCCGCCCCGGCCCATTCTTGGCACGTTGTAGATCAATTTCTTACGCCATCTATTCATATATATTTTATTTTGACTTTTCTTCAACTAGTTAGAATTGATCTTTCAACTAAATAGACTCAATTACCCATTACATCATCACTATTATTCATTCATGAAGTATTTTCCCCTTCGTTTTATTGTAACAAGTAAAATCTTGCTTGTATTTTTTTCAAATAGTACATAAGAGTGAGTTGACTCGTCCCTCCCCGTACCTGCGTGGGTATTACCCGCCCCGATCCGTAGTAGCGTGGGGCGGGACATGGGTATCGAGGTACCCGCCCCGACCCATTACCATCACTACCCAATGTGTTTTTTGATAATCTAGTGATCATGCCAAGTCACTATCGGTAAATTCGATCAGCTTGCTTTCTACTTCTTTCTTGTATGTCGGACCCAATTTCTTTGTACTTGAATATACCGCAAAATTCTTTTGGCTGCTGCAAAATGACATTTGCTAGGTTCATTCATAAATCTTGATACAAGACTTACTGAATAATAAATAACTGATTTGGTATGTGTCAGGTAAATGAATGACTGGACGAGACTCCTGATCAACTTTCCATTGACTTTTTCAGCTTCATCGTTGAGTTAAGCTTACATCAAACAGTCATCAACTGTGGAAGAACATACCTCAAAAACTCAATTCGAACACGCCCACTTCGACAAATCTCGGAAAGAAAAGAGCTAAACACAATTCTCCTCTCAAACCCCACCTTTTGACTATTCCAAAGGCACACAAATTTCCAATACCACAAAGAAAGGACGCAAAGTTCAACCTTGTCCACCAAGCTACCGCTCTCTCCAAGAAAATTTGAAAATTTGATAAATACCATCCCTTTTGGCCATCACAGTATTACCCAAACAACAAAAATTAGAAAATCATGGAGGCCGTGAGAATATCGAACACACTAACAGAAGTGGCGGAGCTGGTCTTCGTGCCGTCGCCGGGTGCCGGGCACATTTTCCCGATGCTGGAGCTGGCGGAGCAGCTCGTAAACCGCGACCGGAGGCTCGCCGTCACATTCTGCCTCATGAAGATGCCTTTCCAGCAAACCTCACACGATTTCAAGTCCTCCTCCGGCAGGATCCGGTTCGTCGACCTCGAGCCCACCACCCTTGACCCCGACACCCCTCGCAGCATCCGGTTCACCTCTTTCATCGACGGCCACGCCCCGCAGATCAAGGAAGCCGCCGCCTCCAACAACACGGCGCCGTCTTCCCGCCTCGCGGGCTTCGTCCTTGACATGTTCTGCACCTCCTTCATCAACGTGGCCAACGAGCTCGGCGCGCCTTCCTACGTCTTCTACACGTGCGGCGCCACGTGCCTCGCCTTCATGCTCCACGTCCAGTCCCTCTTCGACAGGGGCGAGTTCGACCCGGCCGAGTTGAAGGACTCGGACGCCGAGCTGGCGATTCCGGGTCTGCGGGACCCGCTCCAGGGGAAGCAACTCCCGTCGGTGGTGGTGGAGGCGGATTGGCTTCCGACCGTCATGCGCCACACGCGGAGGACGAGGGAAGCCAAGGGTATTTTAGTCAATACGTTCCACGATTTCGAGTCCCAGGCGGTTGCTTCCCTGACGACCGGTCAAACCCCTCCTCTCTACACGGTGGGGCCCATCATTGACCTCAAGCTGAAGAAGGGAGATACAGCTGGCGAAAAGGAGATAGTTGATTGGCTGGACCAGCAGCCGAAGTCGTCGGTGGTGTTCCTCTGCTTCGGGAGCTTGGCAAGCCTCGATGAGGAACAGGTGAAGGAGATCGCCGCCGCGTTGGAGGCCAGCGGGCGGAGGTTTTTATGGTCCCTTAGGAAGCCGCCGCAGAAGGGCAAACCGGAGTTCTACCCGTCCGAATACGACGACGTTAAGGATGGGTTGCCCGAAGGGTTCCTTGACCGGACAGCTGGGCTCGGGAAGGTGATCGGGTGGGCCCCGCAGACGAGGGTCCTGGCCCATTCATCGGTGGGCGGGTTCGTGTCGCATTGTGGGTGGAACTCGACGCTGGAGAGCACGTGGTTCGGTGTTCCCGTTGCCACGTGGCCGATGCAGGCGGAGCAGCAGCTGAATGCGGTTATGTTGGTGAAGGAGCTGGAGATGGCGGTGGAGATCAGGATGAGCTACCGGAAGTTGAGCGGAGAGGTGGTTCCGGCGGAGGAGATCGAGAGAGGGATAAGGGGGTTAATGGCGGCGGAGAATGAGGGGAGGAGAATTAAGGTCAAGGAGATGAGTGACAAGTGTAGGAAGGCTGTGGAAGAAGACGGGTCATCCTATCACTTCGTTGGTCGCTTTATTGAGGATGTGATTCGTAACACTCCATAAAAAAAAAAAAAAAAACTAAAAAGTTCAATACTGTGAAATTTGGTTATTACTGAAGATGTTTTCCTTTTCTTTACTATGGTGCTCGGTAAACAACTTTGTAACAATTTTAGAGGCTTGAAATCTTTGCTCAAAATAAACAATTAATACATCATTCATATATTCCTACATTCGATCATGATTGAAGTCCATTGAATTTTGATAATTCATATTCGTGATATCATATGGCCGACTTCGATTCAAATGACCCATCAAATAGTTTCTAAAATGATCCAAGTTGATATAATAGTTGTTATCATATTTTGGGGAAAACCGACAGCTTTTTTATTTCATAAAAAGACCTAAATACATAAACCATCTGTCCATAACTCGATGACAAATTGCACGACAACTCGTCAGTACCAACTGCTCCACTTTCTTGATTTCAAGCAATAACCCTAATAGGCAAGTTGACTCAAACAATCTTCCTACCTTGATAAGGGGGCTGTCGGTTTCGCATTTTCGAATTGTTCTGTAACTGATTTGGTTTTGGTTTAAAATCGAAAAATCAATAAGGACTCGAAACTCGATAATGACCCAAGAAATAAGTAAGTTTCTGACAACACATAGTTTTTCGGTTTTCGAATTTCGGGTACCAGAACCCGAGATTCCCCATATCGATATCAGGTTTGGTTTACAAAGGCTTCGGTTTCAATTTGTTAAGTACAGATGAATTTCTGTTCGACTACCCAAACCCAAACAAAACCATCGCCCCTAATTGTGTCACTGATTTTCAGCCTGAAAAATCCCATAATATTCAAATCTCAGGGCAGGCCCTCCTTTCCCCACCGAATCTCTAACAAATTTCGATAAAAGAAAATGTCCAGACAGAAACAACTGGAAATTAAAAGCTAATATAACGGTTCCTGTCTCTGGTTAAAAACAAAAATGCAGGCCCATCACTACTGTGTGCAGTTTCAGTGTGAAGATCTCAATTATTGTGTTGAAAATCGGTTCAGATCCCAGAAAAAGGACATCCATGATCCAACCCCTGACTACGTGCATCGTACCCCACATGCTTGCCAGCAAAGCCATGACGTCACCTACCTTAACCTTGCCCACCAAGCTACGGCTCTCTCTGCTCATTATTCCAACCTCCAAGAAAATTTGATCAAACATTATCTTTTTACAAGTCATCAAATATATATTTCCCAGAATTGGCTTTGCTAGTAGCCACCAACTCCCTCACAGTAAACAAAACCACAAAAATCAAACCACCATGGGGACTACAAACACACTTGCAACGGCGGCGGAGCTGGTCTTCGTGCCGTCGCCGGGCGCCGGCCACATTTTCCCCATGCTGGAGCTGGCCGAGCAGCTCGTGAGCCGCGACCCGAGGCTCTCCATCGCCTTCTGCCTCATGAAGATGCCTTTCCAGAAAACATCTAACTACGACTTCCATCCCTCCGCCTCCGGCCGGATCCGGTTCGTTGACCTCCAGCCCACGGCCGTTGACCCGGAAACCCCTCCCAGCGACGCCTTCGTCTCCTTCATCGACGGCCACGCCCCGCAGATCAAGGAAGCCGCCTCCTCCAGCAACAACACGGCGTCGTCGTCGTCTTCCCGCCTCGCGGGCTTCGTCCTCGACATGTTCTGCACCTCCTTCATCGACGTGGCCGACGAGCTCGGCGCGCCGTCCTACGTCTTCTACACGTGCGGCGCCACGTGCCTCGGCTTCATGCTCCACGTCCAGTCCCTCTTCGACAGGGGCGAGTTCGACCCGGCCGAGTTGAAGGACTCGGACGCCGAGCTGGCGGTTCCGGGCCTGCGGGACCCGCTACCGGGGAAGCTCCTCCCGTCGGCGGTGGTGCAGCCGGACTGGCTGCCGGTTCTCATGCGCCACACGAAGAGAACGAGATTGTCCAAGGGTATTTTAGTAAATACGTTCCACGATTTCGAGTCCAACGCCGTTGCTTCCCTGACGACCGGTCAAACCCCTCCTCTCTACACGGTGGGGCCCATCATCGACCTCAAGATGAAGGGAGATCGTACAGCTGGCGAAACGGAGATCGTGGATTGGCTGGACAAGCAGCCCGAGTCGTCGGTGGTGTTCCTCTGCTTCGGGAGCATGGGAAGCTTCGATGAGGAACAGGTGAAGGAGATCGCCATCGCGTTGGAAGCTAGCGGGCAGAGATTTTTATGGTCTCTTAGGAAGCCGCCGCAGAAGGGGAAACCGGAGTTCTTCCCGTCCGAATACGACGACGTTAAGGAAGGGTTGCCCGAAGGGTTCCTGGACCGGACAGATGGGCTCGGGAAGGTAATTGGTTGGGCCCCGCAGACGAGGATTTTGGCCCATCCGTCGGTGGGCGGGTTCGTGTCGCACTGCGGGTGGAACTCGACGCTGGAGAGTACTTGGTTCGGTGTTCCGGTTGCCACGTGGCCGATGCACGCGGAGCAGCAGCTGAATGCGGTTATGTTGGTGAAGGAGCTGGAGGTGGCGGTGGAGATCAGGATGAGCTACCGGAAGACGAGCGGAGAGGTTGTGCCGGCGGAGGAGATTGAGAGAGGGATAAGGGGTTTGATGGCGGCGGAGAATGAGGGGAGGAGAATTAAGGCTAAGGAGATGAGTGACAAGTGTCGGAAGGCGGTGGAAGACGGCGGGTCTTCTTACCACTCCATTGGACGATTCATTGAGGATGTGATTACTGATTAGCAACACCATGGAAAAAGTTGGAAAGAGTATGAAATTAGGTTATTGCCGAAGACTTCTTCTTTCTTTTGCCTTGGTGCTCGGTAAAACAACTTTGTGACAATATTTATAGATGCTTTAAATCTTTGCTCAAAGTCGAAATTAATAAATCATCTATCAGTTCCTACCGTCGATCGTGCATGATCGAAGGATCCATTGAATTCCCATAAATTGATAATTTGATAATTCATCACAGTATTGAGCCTATCCTGGATCAAATGGTACATTTAACATTTCCAATAGTTCCTGCAAGGATCAAAGTATTGTTCGGAATTGCACCCTAAAAGTGGGCATTATACGGAATATATCACAATTATTGACGAGACTTTAATGTGATCTGTAAAAGTGGGCATTACTACGGAAAATATTACAATTATTACGGAAAATTTATGAATTGAGTTTTGATTATGAGTCTAAAATAATAATAAAAATGTAAGTACGAAGGTTAAAAAGGAATAAACGAATCACATGAGCAGAATACTTATTTTCTTATTAATTTTTTTCAAGCCATTTAACATAATTTATTTTGTTTCGTGTGTTTCCTAAATAAAACAAAAGAGGTAATTGATGATGCCTCATTATTATCATTATTAAATTTGTTGTTTTAACTTTCTTCATTTTCAGCTTTCCAATGGGCAAAAGAATTCAATTTCGTCAATTAATCTACTTGTACTACAAATCCATTAATTCAAAATTAAATAAATAATTTGCATTGATTTATTAAACATTAACCAAAATAATTAGGTACAAGCCACCAATAGTATAAACGAAAAAATTACTATATCAATTATAAATAGTTTGCCATTATGTGATATGGCTAATTCTTGTGGTAAAGCTATAGTTTTTTTAATGAATTATTCAACGTATTTATATGATTTTTTTTTGAAATTTTAATCTTTTTGAAACTTGTCGATTGTTTTCCTATTAAAAGCATATTTTATAGAGTCTTATTAACTATTCTTGTGACTGTTATTACAGCAAGAAGAAGCTTTTCGAAATTGAAGTTGTTGAAGTCTTATATGCACTCTACAGTGACATACGAGAGGTCTAACATGTTAGCTATGTTAGCAATTGAGAATAACTATTTGGATGATGCAAAGATGGAAGAGCGAATAGAGAATTTTATTTCAAATAATATTAGACGGTTGTTGCTTTTTAAACAATGATAGATAATTTTATTCCTTTTGTAATCACTTTGTGAACTTATGTGTTTTTTATTATTATTCAATAAATTTTTTTCCTTAATGAATTTATGGGGAAAAAATCTAGGGCTACATTTTAAATTTACGAACAGAGCCTCCTAATATCATGAGTCGACCCTGCCCATAAAAGGGTGCATATATAACCCTTGGTTATGCACCATATCCTGGACCTCGCCAAACCCTCGTCGCAGCCCCATCTTGCCTTGTGGTCCCAAATCCTGCCTAGAGGCTAGACACCACCCTTATTAGAAAATTCCTTATTTAGATTGACCCATTCCAGATAAAAATTGAATATTGTATATGTTACGTTAAACCAACCAATAAAATCATGTATGGGTATAGATAAAAAGTTAAAAACTAAAAAAATGATATATTCTAAAAATTCAAGTATTGTAACCATCTAGAAAAAAAAACAATGGAAAACCCAAACCATCGTATTTTTTTATTTCCAACTTGAATATCATATTCGTAATATATCTACTTTTCCGCCCCACAACTGCAAACAAAGATGGGTCTATATTTTTGCTTCTTCCCGATAAATAGTGCATCAAACAGCTCATCATCTCTGTGGAGAAGAATTTTTCATCCGGTTTATCTCCAAGGATGCCGGACCATACTTCTCTCGCATACGGGCATTCCCGTAGGACATGTGATACTGATTCGTCCTCTTCGCCGCAGACCGGACAACAGCAAACGTTTGTAAATGGCGCCTATACCTTTCAACATTCGTCAGGAGGCGGCCGTGACCGACCAGCCAGAAGAAGGACCTGATTCGCTGCATAGCCGGGATTTTCCATATCCTCTTCCAGATGGGGTGGCCGAGCTGGGGTTGGCTCGCCTCATCAACCAACTCATAAGCCGATTTTAGAGTGAACTCGCCGTTTGCCGTATACCGCCAGCGAGGCACATCGCTCTCTGTTCCTTGGGGTATGTCATGCATCCGTATCTGCTCCAACATGTCTTCTGGGAGAAAGGCCTGTATATAAGTAATATTCCATTTCCCATTCAAGACCATCTCTTCCACTGAAATGGTGGATGCTTCCTGGGGTAATCCCACCGCGAGTTCAGCCAAGACTGGTCAGTCATTGAGCCATTGGTCAGTCCAAAACCTCGTCGATCGGCCATTGCCAATGTTCCACATGAGTGCTTCAGGAATCCGGTTAAGGATCCGTAGAACCCCCCTCCATAGGTTGGATATACGTCCCGTCGTTTGAGGAACCCAGGAATCACCTACAGGTCGAAGATACTTGCTTCGGTCAACCGGCAGGCTATTTTCATCATAAAGTCCTCGTTTAGTGTTGTTGCATCGCGCATCCCCAGCCCTCCTTCCTCCTTCGGTCGAAGAGTGTACTCCAGTCTAGCATGTGGATCTTCCATTCGGTCGCTGAACTACCCCATGCGAAACCTCGAATCTTTCTATCAATATATTCTCGAACACTGGCGGGAAGGAAGGTGGTCTGCATAGTGTAAGCTGGGAGTGAGGCTAGGACGGCTTGCACCAAAGTGATGCGCCCAACCAAGGATAGGGTTGCTACGCTCCAGCCTGCCAACCGGCCGTCTATCTTGTCGATTAGCTCCATGAACGTTGTCCTCGAAACACGGTCGTGAATGACGGGGACACCGAGGTACCATCCCAGGTCAGATGTCTTGGGTAATGCCCAAGTCATTGCTGAGGGAGTCTGCAAGAGTACTCGATATTTTTTTTTTGAGAAATACACCCTCGACTTGGGCCTGCTAATCTGCTGTCCTGATGCACTTCCAAAGACCTTAAACTACTGGTTAATAACTTGTACATGCGCAGGATCAGCCACACTAAAAAGTATGAGATCGTCAGCGAAAAATAGATGAATGAAGCAGGGCCAGAGTTGGAGAACTTAATTAGCTACCAGCTGCCAGACTCCACAACATCGGTAATCAAATGACTCAGTCTCTCCATGCATAGGGTGAAGATATATGGGGACAAGAGGAAACCCTGACGGAGCTCCTGGGAGGGGGAGAATTCCTCCGTCAGTTTACCGTCCATTGGATCCACATTCTAGACGTGGAAATACACTGCATGGTGATGCCTGTGAACTTCTCTGGCACTCCTGCCGCCGTAAGAGTGTCCCGGACAAAGCTCCATCTGATTCGGTCGTACGCCTTGGCTAGATCAACCTTGATCACCATCCACCCTGAACGCCGGGACTTAGCACGCATAGAGTGAACAACTTCCTGCAAAATGCAAATATTGTTAGTGGTATGTCTCCCGGCAATGAAACTAGTCTGAGTCTCGTGCACCAGGTCCGGCATAAACGACTTCAACCTCTCTGCCAAGCATTTGGTGAGGATTTTATAGTCGACATTGCATAAGCTTATGGGTCTAAACTAATCGATAGACACCGGGTTTTGGGCCTAAGGGATAAGCACCAGTAATGTTTCATTGAACTCACGTATAAAAGATGGCGCATCCCAACAACGATTAGCAAACTCATGAACCTCATTAGACACCACCTCCCAAAAACGCTGGTAAAACAGCGGGTTGACACCATCAACTCCGGGTTCTTTAAGAGGTCCCATTGCCGAGACTGCTAAATTCAATTCTTCCATATCAAACTTCCTCCCTATCTCGTACCACTTTGGCGCTGCCATAGTTGGGAAACCATTCAGCATGGGTAAGCATAGTGATTGGTCATCAGTGAACAGCCCCATATAATATTGCATCGCCATGTTGGACAGCTCGTCCTGGTTCTCAACCCATTCCCCACTCGAGTTCTTCAGTGCAACAATCTGGTTTCTCTTTCTTCTACGAAGGGTCGAGTATGGAAAAATTTGGTATTTTGATCTCCCCGCCGAACCCAGTCCGTACCAGACTTTTGATGCCACATTAGCTCTTGAGATCTGATCCTTTCGCCCACACCTCCTTTAACATGTCTGTGAAGCCATTGTGAGTCAACCACGAGGCCAAGAATTTGAACGATTTTTGTCCCGGTGGAGCAAACTCCGGATGTGTTCTTATCAGAAGAGGGCGATGATCCGACTTGACCTGTGGCAAGTGTCGAACCGTCGTCTCAGGGAACTGTGCGGTGGTCCAAAGGGAGTTCGCTAATCCTCGATCAAGTTTCTCTTTCGTGGCCCCACGGAACCACGTGTACGACGGTTCGACAAATCCCAAGTCTGCTAATCCAGTGTCAAGTAAGCAATCTTGAAATTCGCGGACACGACTCGCATCAAAGGGCGCTCCTCCAAACTTCTCAGACGAGCTAAGCATGGAGTTAAATTCCCCGGCTATCAGCCACGTCGTATCTATATCATCTGCTAATGACCGAATGGAGCTCCACAGTGCTCTTCGTTGTATTAAGGCTGGATGCCCGTAGACAGCTGTGAAAAGAAAGCTGGCGGTCCCCATCTGAACTTGGACATGAAGCAATTGTCTTGTTCGATCCTTCTCTGTTACTTGTACCGTTGACTCGTCCCTCGGGGCTGCTCTCCACTTCACCACTCGATACCCGATTTCCGGAGTCGACGCTCATTGTAGTGACTTCCTCATTTGGTGGTGAGGTATTCAGAGTTTGTATGGCAACAGGCGTAGCTGGCAGCGTATTGCACTGTCACCAGCACCACTCACTTGCCCCGCCATTGAGCACTTCCTTGTTGTTATTGTACATGCTTTGGTTCCGTCTTGATTTTTCTTTTCCTTTTCAGCGATAGGGGGGATATTAGTGGTTGGCTCGTTCGTCATAGCTGTGTCATCCGGAGAGGAGGTGCCCTTATGTGTCTCACTCAACTACTTTCTCGGCTTCTCCCCTGAATACTGGCGGTTATTAGCTTGTTTCTTAACCCAGACTTGCTGCTTCTTCGGCATTAGGACAACAGTGCTTGCTTTCTGGCGGTTGGAGTCTTCTGGGTATCCTTATGTCCTTGTCAATTCGTGGCTCACCCTTTGTTGGGACGAGGCAGTGGTTTCCTCTTCTTGGCTAAGGATATTGAAGCGGGATCCTGACCGATCCGAAATTTTGAAAACATTACGAGGACCCTAACTCCCAGCTCTGACTATTTCCACTCTCCTATGAGGTCGACGTTCTCTCCTCTTCGCTATCATCCATTCCCCATACACCTCCTCGTGTTTTTTTGTCCTTGTTTCTGAACAGTCTCAGTTGATTCTCGACTTGGTTCTTCAGGCTTGTGCAACGTGGGGCAATGGGTTTTCGAGTGTCCATAGGTACCACACTCAAAGCAGATATTGTCCAAGCCTTCATACTTTGATTTCGTACTCCACTCCTGCCACCTTATACTTCGACCATAGTGGTTTCGTTAGGTCAACCTCAATGCAAGCCCTGGCAAAAACACCTCGAGCTCCCAGCTCTGTCGCTCTATCAACCCGGATCGGTGTACCTACTCTCTTGGATATGCGCAGCACTGCTTCCGGATGGTAGAGCTCAATGGGTAAGTCCGGCAACCTGATCCACACAGATGTAGAGTTAATCTGACAAGTTCTTGGGTTAAACCCCTCTTTCCACTTCTGGATAGTTATATAATTGTCCCCGATCAACCATGGGCCGCCTGTGAGAGCTAGGCCTGTCAAAACGGTTTCGGGTTTTCGGTTTAACCCGAACCCGAACCGCCAGCAGTGTCTATGGGTTCGGTTTTTTCGGTTTCAACCCGTGAATTTTGGTTTCGGTTTCATAAACCCAAAACCCGAGAGGGAACCCGAAAAACCCGTGAATTTTAGTTCTACGCTGTCGTTTTGTTTGTAGGGTTTTTTCTTCGACATTGAGTTGTGGCCTCGCCTCGCCAGTCGCATGTGACTGTGAGCATCGGCCTCGCCTGTGAGTCTGTGACTGTGAGCATCGCGCCGCGCGCGGCATCGCCAATTCGCCATTCGCCAATCGCCACACTGCCCACACACTCGACGATCGGCAGCAACCCTACCCAGCAGCGCCAACCCTACTCTGCAGCGCAGTCAGAGACTCCCCCTGTCGCCGGCGAACTCATCCCCCGTCGCCGTCGTTCAAGAATCAAGATCGAAGCTTCGACAAAGGAGACGCCACCCCTTTGTAGTTCGCACTTCGCCATGGAATCCCAGTGAGTCTCTTCGCCATGGGTCTGCTCTGTTCTCGTTTCCCTTTACTTTCTGTGTTCAGTGCTCTGTTCTCGTTGGTGGTTTCGTCCTCTTGCCAAGTTCGTTGATAGTGGGCGGCCAATGGGTAGTGGCCTGCTATAGCTAGGGATGTTGGTTATTGCTACATCTAGATTCGTTGCCCTATCTGGGTCTCAACTGAGTTCGCTATTTCCAAGCTTTTTCTCCTTTTCAAGAACTTGCTCTGCTTTTTTTTACCCTGTTTCGGATCTTGTTTCCTGGAAATGGGCCCTATATTCTTAGAGCTCTGCTCAGCTGGGTTGCTTGCTGGTTTGGTTCTCAACCTACAAAACAAAGAACATAGTACGAATTGTAAACACTACTTCAATGCAGCTCTAAGTGATCCAAAGAAACATTGATCACAGCTTGTTTCCCCCATCACATGCTGGTTTCCCCCCCTCTTCTTCTCCTCCTCTTCCTCACCCAAATTGTGTATTGATATAACAAGATTGAGGTTGTTGGTTTAATTGGAGTTCACAGTATGATAACAAGATTGAGGTTGTTGGTTTAATTGGAGTTCACAGGATGATAACAAGATTGAGGTTGTTGGTTTATATCATACTCTCTCCACTTGTGAAGAGGACTGTTATTTTCACAGGATAGAAATTATTTTGCTTTCAGCTGTCTTGTACAAATTTCCTCGGTATAGTTAATGAATTATACTCAACTCAACTTTTCATTTTGACAGGGGAAGTGAGGCACCATCGGCGTCTCGTCCTAGACGTGGAGGACGCACTAAGAATACCAGCATTCTTGCTCCTGCACCGTCTACCGGTACCACCAATGTACCTCCTGCTCAAACAATAGACGAGGAGACAATTTCAAGAAAAAGGAAAGAAAAGTCTGACGTTTGGCCACACTTCAAGCGTTTTATGAAGGATGGAGTGGAGAAAGCAAGATGCATTTATTGCAATAGTGTTCTTATTGCTCCCACTAGATATGGGACTTCTACTCTGCGGAGTCATAAAAAGAGTTGTTTGGAAAAGATAGAAAAGGGTGAGCTGATAGTCGACCATCTATCATCTTCTGGAGGCCAGGTACACACTCTTGGGACTTGGAAATTCGATCAGATTGATGCTAGGAGAGCTTTAGCGGAGATGATTATCATAGATGAATTACCATTTAGGTATGTTGAACATGAAGGGTTCAAACGGTTTATGGCTCGTGTTTGTCCAATGTTTGTGTTACCTAGCCGTCAGACCGTTAGAGATGATTGTATCAAGGTGTTCTTTGAAAATAGAGAGTTGCTGAAGGACTATTTCAAGACTAAGTGTTTAGGGATGGTATCGCTCACCACTGATACTTGGACTTCTTTGTCCAATCTCAATTATATGTGCATTACTGCTCATTTCATTGGTAGAGATTGGAAATTGCATAAAAGAATTATTAACTTTGTCCAAGTTACAAAACATTCTGGAAGTGAAATTGGAAAACAGTTGGCTAGTTGTTTGGTGGAGTGGGGCATTAGGAAGGTGTTTTGTATAACAATGGACAATGCTAGTGTCAATGATGTGGTTGCTATCCATATGAAGGAACAGTTGAAAGAGTGGGGATCAGATATTTTGGATGGAAAATATCTGCAGATGAGGTGTGTGGCTCACATTATTAATTTGGCTGTGAAGGATGGGCTTAAAGAAACTGGTAAATCTGTGGAGCGAGTGAGAGAATCTGTGAAGTGGGTTAAATCTACACCAGCTAGGAGCAGAAAATTTAAAGATTGCATTGAGTTTGAAAAGATAGCTTCGAAGAAATTTGTTTCGTTGGATGTAGCTACAAGATGGAACTCAACGTATCTGATGTTGGAATCTGCAAAGCCATTTGAGAAAGCATTTCATACATTAGCTAGAAATGATAAGAAATTCAAGAAACATCTCAATGAAAAAAGATATGGAAATGAAAGTCTTGGTATCACGACTTCTGATGATTGGTCTAGTGTGGGACGGTTGATTGATTACCTGAAACTATTCTATGATTTGACTGTTCGAGTTTCTGGGACTTCATATGTGACTTTACACCTCTTGTTTGATGAGGTATGTGAAATGTATACTATGATATCTGAGTGGGCTGATGGTATAGATTTTGAGGTGTTTTGCATGGCTGATAGAATCAAGTCCAAACTTGCCAAGTATTGGTTTGAAGATGAGTTGGAGAATTCAATGATGAATCGGTTGTGTTATATGGCAGTCATATTAGATCCTAGGAGGAAAGTTGAATATCTTGAACAAGCTTTGAAAAAGGTGTATGGTGAGAGCATGGGTAAAGCTTTGGTCGAAGAGGTGAATGATGAAATGCGTCTTTTGTTTGACCATTACAAGCATAGGATCGGACTTCCTGGCAGTTCTCCCATTGTGATTCAGGAAGATGTGCAAGAACCTAGTGGAAGTGGGGATGGGAAGAAGAAAGGGAAGATTTGGGGTGATTTTAGGAAAATGAAAAGAGATGCCATTCTGAAAGGAACTAGAAAAAGTTCCAAATCTGAGTTTGATAGGTACCTTGAGGAGGAGGAGGATGATGAAGTGGTTACACGAACATTGGTGGGTTCAGAAGAGGACGAATACAAGTTTGACATCTTGGGATGGTGGTCTCGAAGTGGGATGAAATATCCTACTATTTCTGAGATGGCTAGTGATATTCTTGTTGTTCCTATTTCCACTGTTGCTTCTGAGTCGGCATTCAGCACAGGAGGTCGAGTTTTAGATTCGTTTAGGACCTCCTTATCCCCTGAAGTTGTGGAGGCGTTGATTTGTTGTGAAGATTGGATAAGATCTTCAGACTCCGAGTTGGTGGCTGATGGAGAAGATGAGGGTGATGAAGTGGTATTTCAAAATGGTAAGGTTTTAATCTTTCTCTTTATTCTTATATTTGTTATCTTGATCAAGTCATATTCTAACAATTTGTTATTGTTTATGTTATCCAGTATATGTAGCTTTTCAAGCTCGGAGTGCAAGTGCACCTGCAGGACCTAGTGGAAGCTCTCGTGCAGGACCCAGTGGAAGCTCTTCTGCTACCCATGTTTTGGTCTCGAGTCCTACTATGTCACAAGTGGAAGAAGACTATGTCGACAACAATTCCGATGAGAATGATGAGACTTATGTAGATGTAGAGCCTAATGAGGAGTGATAATGATAGTAGTATTTATCTTGTATGGTGGATGAATTTTTATTTTACTTGGATGTTATCATTTGAGAATTGTAAAACTAATGTGATTAATTACGAGTTGAAGATAATCTCATCTATGATTGTCGTATTTTATGTTGAACAAAATTATTTATAATTTTGCGCCAAACACCAAACATTTTTTGCATATGATAGTTGATATACCTTCAATTTTGGACCTATGGTATTACTAAAACATTTAATTATACAAAAATCCACAATTAAATAAGATATGATTAAGTTACGTATAAAATATGTTTAAGTATTTTACTTTGTCTCTAAAATACTAATACTCTTTAATAGTTAATAGTATGTCTATAGTTATAGAATACATAAAATTAAATATTTCAATAATTAACTAATATTTTAATAATAATGGTATGTCTATAGTTATACTGTCCATGTCCCATAAAATTAATAGTATGTCTATAGTTATACTGTCCATGTCCCATAAAATTAAACATAATGGTAAAATAAGAATGTACAAATAATAAGAATAAAATTGTTTTGTACAATGTAAAATTCAAATCACAAAACTAAAAAAAAAAAAAAAAAAACTCAAGCCGGTTCGGTTTCGGTTTCACCCGAACCGAACCAAACCCGCCAACATCAATTTCGGGTTCCAGTACCCGAAACCCACAGAAGAGCATTTCGGGTTCGGTTTCGGTTTGTGAGGGGGCGGGTTCGATTTTTCGGTTTTCACGGGTTTCGGGTTCGGTTACCCGAACCGAACCGTCAGCCCTAGTGAGAGCTAGTTCATAGTCCATCCTGTTTGTGAATCGGACAAAGAAGTATCTGTTTGGTCTATTTGTTATCTGGATCGTCCCATTCGGTGCCCACAGCATGTTCAGGCATTTGGCCATGATTGGGTAGGGATAGGATCGACCAAGGACTTTCACCATGAGGGCTGATCTCCACTCACGTATATAGCTTCGCCACTCGTCCGGTGAGAAGTAGATAGTAGGGCAGCAGGGGTCTTCTTCCTCGGCAGTGGATCATGTTGGGAGTCCTCACACATCTCTTCCACCACATCCTCAGCATCTGACTCCCCCACATACCATGATTCCTCCCTAACAACTTCGTTGAGAAGTTTCTTGCAGCCCACGCCCCAGGGCACCGGCGGCGGTTGGGGCATCGCTGTATTCGATTTCGATCCAGTATTGTCCCGTAGAGGCTCCAGTTCCTTAGTATTCAGCATCTCCTCCTTCGTGATATCCTCAACCAGTACCTTTTCCGACCTATTGCCGGCATCAGAGAAGTTTAGCGGCCGGACTCTTTTCTTTAGTTGTTGAACCTCCGATCCTTCTTTCCATAAGGAGACGATGACACCTCAGGAGGCCTGCAGATGCCCCGCGAAGAGTCTGGAGGTTTGGCTTCCTCCGGTGGAAGGGATGGAGTGGCCGGCGAGCTTGCCGCCACCATCGAAGAGCGTCGCGCGAAGAAAACCTAATCGCAAGCGATTTCCCGGTTCCGAGAAAAACGGACCGAATTCCTTGTGATATTACTTAGTTGCTTCTCTTCTTTTTCGTCCTTTGATATTTTAGTTCTTTTTTCTTTTATTTATTTCTTACATTCGTTTGGTAACCGTGTAGATCACTAATCAATACAGGAAAAAATGGTTAATCGAATGTTTGATCACTGAGATTACTTTTTTTTTATAAATGGATGCAGAGCATCTCAGCCTTCATTCATAACCAAACGGGGTTCGGAGAGCCCCAAAGTGTCATACAAAATCCAAGATACAAGGGTAGTGTCCGTGGTAGGAAATATGCTATAACCCAATGGCACCTGATGACCGCACCTAGCTATATAATCAGCACACTTATTACCTTCTCTATAGATATGAGTGAGGGAGACTTCCCAATCCCTCTGCATTAAATCCTGGAAACGATGGGCAACAACAATATGGCGATGATCATGATCCTGCTGCCGTTGAAGAATATCCACTGCACATCGTGAGTCAAGTTGAACATTGACCTTGCGGTAGCCCAGTTCCCAGGCCAGCTGAAGCCCCTCCACAGCGCCTCTCAACTCTGCTCGGGTAATGGAACAGATCCCGAGGTTCATGACGAACGCCGCAATGCAGCGTCCTAGATGATCTCTTATCAAGCCACCAGCAGCTGCATGGCCTGATTCAGGATGAACGGAGCCGTCCGTGTTGAGAGTAACCCACTCAGGAGGAGGCGGCTGCCATGAGATCAACTCCTCCGTTCTAGCAGGTAGACAAGGCTGATGGATGGCCTTGTCAATGTCCATAGCTGTCTGCACTACATTAATCCAAGCTTGGACGCGCTGTAGGAAAGCTTCAGCTGAAACCACCTTGCCTGCAAAGACTCGGTCGTTCCTGGTCCGGCACAAAGACCAGCAGGTAATGCCAAACATTAGGCTGGTGTGCTCTTTTCGAAGGTACTTCAGAAGCCACTCTTGGAGATTGAGTCCGAAAAAAGTCTGGTGCTCAGAAGGCTGGATAATCTGCAACCAAGTTAACCTCGGGAAAGGACAGTCCCGCAACACATGCAGTCCCGCAACACATGCAGGACTGTTTCGGAATCGGCCCTGCAATAGGAACATAGAGCCGAGGTAGTAAGGTGCCTTCGCTCCCGCTCGGCGTTGGTGAGGAGGCGAGCACGAGCTGCCAGCCAGAGGAAATGGCTCACTCGAGCGGGGCCGCTCCAGCGCCAGATAGTTTTCCAGTCCGTCAAGCTGTTCGCCGTCTCCACGCCGTCTGCAATAACATAAGCCGATCGAACCCGGAACCTTCCATCCTGCTCGGGTCCCCAAGTAGCCACATCCTCTCCTGCGTCTTCCCTAGGCGGCTGGACCCCCATAACCTGCAAAACACCCTCATTCGTTAGAACCTGAGTCAATGCGTCAATATCCCACTCACCTGATGCCGAGGCAAAGGCTGCCACAGAAAGAGACAGGTCCGGTTCAGGTCCATCCATCCTCGCATGATCCAGAAGCGAATCACCACTGTCCACCCATCTATCATTCCAGAAACTCGTGGAGGCTCCATCCTTAATGCACATCCGCATCCCCCTCTCCATGTCCGGCCAAGCTTTCATGATACCCTTCCATAGGTTTGAGGTGCGAGCTCTGGATTTCGGTTGCATAACTCCCTGCACAGTTTTAAAATACTTTGCCTGAAGAACTCGCACCCAAAGCTCCTCGGGTTCTTTGATGAATGACCACGCGAGCTTAGTCAGGAAAGCAATGTTTAATTCATGAGCTTTCCGGATACCAAGCCCCCCTTCATTCTTCGGCCGGCAGACTCCGTCCCAATGAACAAGGTGGATTTTCTTCGAGTCAGCTGTTGACCCCCAAATGAAGCTCCTGATACGCTTGTCAATCTCATCGCAGATGGCTATGGGCAAGTAAGTTGACTGCATTGCATAGGAAGGCAGAGTATTCAGGACCGAAGTTGCCAAAGTGACCCGTCCGGCAAGGGTCAGGTTTTTAGCTTTCCACCCGGCCAATTTGTTGTCCATCCGTTCCAAGATGTAGCTATACGTTTCCTTCGTGACTCGGCCATGGAGAACTGGAACGCCCAGATACCTGCCCAGGTTTTGAGTCGCAGGGATACCCAAGATGCCAGACACCGCTGAACTCTCAGATCGCGGAGTGTTCTGGGAGAAGAACACCGCAGACTTCTCTTTGCTAACCGCCTGCCCTGAAGCTTCGCAAAATCGATCAAGACAGTTCATAATTATGCGACTTTGTTTCTCTGTAGCTTCTGCAAACAAGATAAGATCGTCAGCAAAAAACAAATGGGAGAGGGTCGGGCCACCTGGGGAAGTCTTGATCGGCTTCCAATCTTTTCTGCGGACCGCCTCCTCGATTAAATGACTCAGGCGTTCCATGCACAAAGTGAATAAATACGGAGATAACGGGCAGCCCTGTCGCAGTCCGCGGGATGGGGTGAACTCCGCTGTGCAGTTCCCATTCCAAAGCACATGCATCGTCGAGGTTGTGATGCACGCCATGATCACGTCCACTAACTTGTTGGAGAACCCCGCAGCAATCAGAGTTTCTTGAACAAAGGGCCAACTAATCCTATCGTACGCCTTTGCCAGATCAATCTTGATCACCATCTGGCCCTTCCGTCCTTTCTTCAGATTCATGGAATGCACCACCTCCTGAAGGATGATGATGTTGCTCGTGATATGTCGTCCAGGTACAAAGCTTGTTTGCGTAGGATGAACCAAACTCCGCATCTCCTGCTTAATCCGATTGACTATGCACTTTGTTAGAGACTTATAGATCACATTGCATAGTCCAATCGGCCTGAATTGCTTGATGGACGTAGGGCTCGCCTTTTTCGGAATTAAGGTGAGGAGGGTCACATTGATACTCCGTATAAGCTCCGGATCCTGGAAACACTTGATGACAAATTCTGCGAAGGATGGCCCCACAGGCCGCCACTGTTTCTGGTAAAAAATGGGGGGGAAACCGTCCTTCCCCGGGGCCTTGAAGCCCCCCATCACTTTCACCGCCCTCCACACTTCCTCCTCCATGATCGGTCTAGCAAGGGCATCAGCAACAGCAGTAGGGATTTGAGTGAAATCAGCGACCAGCGGAGCCATAACCACTTGATCCGCGCTATATAACATGATGAAGTAATCCCGAGCGTGATTCTGGAGGAGGGCATCATCATGTATCCAAACGCCATTTTCATCTTGTAGACTAGTGATCTTGTTAAACTTCCTGCGCTTGAGAGTTGATAAGTGGAAGTATCGGGTATTACGATCCCCCTCCACTATCCAGATAGCCCTTGACTTCTGAAACCACAGGAGCTGCTCCTGCCAGAGGGTGGTTTCCGGCTCTTTCCAGACGGAATTTTCCTCCTCAATAGACGCCTCAGAAGGCTGACTCTCATTTCTTACTTCAAGACGCCGCAGCTTAGCAATTAATCTCTTCTTCCTCTTCAATATATGCCCGAAAGTGTCCTTGTTCCACTTCTGGATTTCCTCCGTCAGGAGGGCGGTTTGCGGCATGAAAGCCACTTCCCTTCTCCACGTCTCCTCGAGCAGCCGAGGAAAGTCTTCGTGTCCCATCCACGCCGCCAGAAATCTGAAGGGTCGGACTTGCCGGGGAGTCCTCACCTCAGATTGCATTAGGATCGGGCGATGATCCGAGCCTATGCGCTCCAGGTGCCGAACCACCGTGTTTGGGAACTTCAGGAGCCAGCCTTGGTTTCCGATAGCTCGGTCGAGACGTTGGGATAGGTTGCCACGTCTCCAGGTGTACCGCGGCCCCGAGAATCCCAAATCCACAAACTCACCCTCATCCATGCAACGTCGAAATGGCCTAGTACGAGCCTCCCGATAAGGCGCTCCTCCCATTCTTTCAGTTGGTCCCAAAATCGAGTTGAAATCTCCAGCTAAGACCCAAGGCAACCTGGTGCCATGAGCTATGCGAACCAACTCATCCCACAGGTCCTGCCGAGCTGAAGCATTTGGGCTCCCATAAATGGCAGAGACCAACACTTCTTGCTGCGGCTCTTTCCTCCTCGCCACTCGCATATGGATCATCTGCTCCCACTCATAAATAGACGAGACGCTGAGATCGCTATCCCGCCATAGAACCCAGATTCCCCCTGCGAAGCCACGAGCATCAACAGTTAGTACCCCATCAAACCCCAGGCGCACCAACTTTTTCGGAGGATAATGGCAAATGACCAAATATGAAATATTTAATTAATTTCAGTGACCACTAATATTTACTAATCATATATTTGTCACTTATTTTTTTCTATTAGTGGTCACTAAAATTAATAAATATTTCATGTTTGGTCATTTGCCATTATCTTCCGTCACACTTCGTTAGTAACATCAATATTTATTATGACACGACTAAAAGAACTGTCTAGTCACCCAAATTTAACAAGAAAAAAAAATAAAAAGTCAATCCCACGTACACGTCAGAAACTCTATCCCAACAGTTCATTAGACACTCTAATACAAGGTTGTATAGCTTTCACAAATCTATAGAAATCCTTCTATTTCTACTATTTTCAATTAAGTCCTAAGCAGACCAAGGTCATTACAATCACGTAGTATATGGCGACTCAGACTCACCACATGAAGACGTGGGTGCGGTTGCTCCTCGGAGTCGTGGAGGTCAGGAGGTGGAAATTAAAAGCACATAAAAAATTACCTCAATTTATTAAAAAGAGACCTCGTACTCCAAGTCTCCAACAACATATAAAAAAGGACCTCGTACTCCACTTGTGGCTGGACTTTGAAACCGCTGATGAGTATACATATATATATATTCCATACTTTGCTAGACACCATACCACCGATCCCTCATCACGTCAAACAAAGAACAGAAATCAAATCATAATGGAGGCTACGAAACCCCTTGCCAATTCGGCGGAGCTGGTCTTCGTGCCGTCGCCGGGCGCCGGGCACTTTCTCCCGATGCTGGAGCTGGCGGAGCAGCTCGTGAAGCGCGACCCGAGGCTCACCGTCACCTTCTGCCTCATGAAGATGCCTTTCCAGCAAACCTCACACGATTTCAAGCCCTCCGCCTCCGCCAGCATCCAGTTCGTTGACCACGAGCCCACCACCATTGACCCCGATATCCCTCGCAGCGACCCTTTCTCCTATTTCATCGACGGCCACGCCCCGCAGATCAAGGACATCGCCTCCAACAACACGGCGTCGTCCCGTCGCCTGGCGGGGTTCGTCCTCGACATGTTCTGCTCCTCCTTCATCGACGTGGCCAACGAGCTCGGCGCGCCTTCCTACGTCTTCTACACGTGCGGCGCCACGTTTCTCGCCTTCATGCTCCACGTCCAGTCCCTCTTCGACAGGGGCGAGTTCGACCCGGCCGAGTTGAAGGACTCGGACGCCGAGCTGGCGGTTCCGGGTCTGCGGGACCGGCTCCTGGGTGTCAGATTTCTGATTAATTCCTCTTTTCTTGATTGAGAGAATGAAAAACAATCTTACATTGTTCAGCCAGAGTAGCTGGCTTTTATATTGTTCCTACAAAGCAGACGAATTAGTTACAAGTCTCTAACTAACCTAGCTAAATTACGCAATGGTACCTAACCTATTTACATTCTATCTACATAAGTTTATGCCTATTACAAATTGATACATACTATCTCTAATACCCTCTCTCAAGCTAGACATGAATAGATTTCATGTTAAGCTTGGATATCAAATCAACAAATGTATGAACTGGGAGAGCTTTTGTAAACGGATCTGCTAACTGCAAGGTTGTGGAAATGTGCTGCACTTTTAGCTTGTTTGCAAGAACCTGGTCTCTAGTAAAATGGCAGTCGACCTCTATATGTTTTGTACGTTCATGCTGCACTAGATTCTGTGTCATTTTCACTGCAGAAAGGCTGTCACAGTAAATGGTGTGTGGTTGGTGTGGTTGAACAGGTAGCTGGGTGAACAGGGCTGTCATCCACTGGAGTTCTTGAGCTGTGTCTGCTAATGCTCTGTACTCGGCTTCGGCTGAAGATCTTGAAATGGTTTGCTGCTTCTTAGAACGCCAGCTTATGAGGGAATTACCTAAAAAGACACAAACCCCCGTTACTGATCTACGAGTATCTGGGCAACCAGCCCAATCAGAATCTGAAAAAGCAGTTAATCGAAGAGAAGAATTGGAGGGGAAGAACAATCCACGCGCAGGAGTATTTTTGAGATATCGCAACAGTCTGTGAGTGGCTTGTTCGTGGGCTGTGGTTGGAGAATCAACAAATTGGCTAAGCTGATTAACAGTGTAGCAGTTATCAGGGTGTGTAGTGCAGAGATACTGAAAGCGACCAATCAGAGTTCTGTAACTACTGTGATCTGTTTCATTTAATGGAGTTCCATCTTTAGCAGATAAATGTGTGCCAGGTATAGATGGTGTAGTAGTTGGTTTGGATGCTAAGAACCCTGTATCAGATAATAAATCTAGTGTGTATTTCCTTTGACACAAATGAATACCACTTTCAGACCTGGAAACTTCCATGCCAAGGAAGTATTTGAGTGGCCCAAGTTCTTTGATTGTAAAAGCAAGATCTAACTGATGTTTGACATGTTTAATTTCTGCCATATCATTTCCAGTTAAGATAATATCATCAACATAAACAAGAAGGGCAATAAACGATTTGTTATTGTGTTTTGTAAACAAAGAGTAGTCACAGTGTGATTTTTTATAACCTAAACCCTCTAATGTGGCTGCAAGTTTAGCAAACCATTGTCTGCTAGCTTGCTTGAGGCCATAAAGGGATTTAGTTAGCTTGCACACTTTGTTTTTGTCTGCAGGAGCTACTGGAAGGCCAGGTAGTAGTTTCATGTAGACCTCTTCATTGAGATCTCCATGAAGAAAGACTGTGTTGACATCTAGTTGCTCTAGATGCCATTTGTATATGGCTGCAAGGGCTAAAAGAATCCTAACAGTTGTCATTTTGACTACAGGGGAGAAAGTATCCAAATAGTCAACTCCAGGTGTTTGTGTGTAGCCTTTGGCTACTAACCTGGCTTTATATTTGTCTATTGAACCATCCTGCTTAAACTTTAATCGAAAAACCCATTTGTTTCCAATAATGGGAACATTGGGAGGAGGATCTACAAGGACCCAAGTTTTGGTTTTTTCTAAGGAAGCAAACTCAGAGTTGACAGCTTTCAACCATTCAGATGACTGAGCAGCCTCTTTGTATGTTCTAGGTTCCCTGACTTGTGAAATTGCTAAAGCAAATTTCTTGTGTGAAGTGCTTAGAGAGCTATAAGATAGCATTGCCTGTATTGGATACCTAGTTTTAGAAAACAAGGTTGCTTGACTAGCCAGATTGCATTTATAATCGTTGTACTTAACTGGCTTAGTAACTTGTCTGCTGGATCTCCTTAATGGAGGCAGATCAGTAGGAACTGAAAGATGGGAAGCATGAGCTTGATTGGATGGAATTATCCCAGGACCTGATTGGGACATAGATGGTGAAGAATGAATAATAGGCTGAGATGACTCAGTGATGAACTCAGTGTGTGCCTTTTCAAAATCTAAATATGAAGAAACAGGTGGAAAGACAGGTAATGGAAATGTATGATCTGTTATCTGATTTGGATTTTGAAATGGAAAGATGGTTTCATGAAATGAAACATCTCTGGAAATGAGAATATTATGAGTGTTTAGGCTGTATAACCTAAAACCTTTTGTTCCATGGGAATGACCAAGGAAAATACATGGTTGAGCCCTAGGATCAAGCTTATGTCGAGTTGCCTGAATAGTAGCTGCATAAGTGAGACAGCCAAATACTTTGAGATGAACTAAACTTGGTGGCTCACCATGTAACTTTTCATATGGAGTAATATTCTGAATAAGAGTAGAAGGAGTTCTGTTTATAAGATGAACTGCATGCATTGCAGCAAAATTTCAGAACTGAGCAGGTAAGGAAGCCTGAAAGAGTAAAGCACGAGTAACACCCAAGATGTGCTGATGTTTTCTTTCGACTATACCATTTTGTTGAGAGGTATAGATACAAGTAGTTTGGTGAATGACACCTTTGGAAGAATAGAAGTCTGGAATGTGGAATTCAAGACCATTATCAGTACGAATTGCTTTTATTTTAGCCTTAAACTGTGTTTCTATAAAGGCAAAGAAATTAATAAGTGTTGGTCGAGCTTCTGATTTATGTTTCATGGTAAAAATCCATGTATGACGAGTGTAATCGTCTACAATGGTAAGAAAATAAGCATGGCCTTGAAAAGACAGAACAGGAGCATTACCCCATATATCCACATGGATGAGATCAAAAGGAGCAGAAGTTTTACTTGTACTATTAGCAAAAGGAAGGCGTTTTTGCTTTGCCATAGGGCAGACAGTACAATGGAAACCAGATAGTGAAGAAATGTTACTGTCAATGGCTCTAAATTGAGAGAGTTTACAGTGTGGCACATGGCCAAGGCAATAATGCCAGATATCTATACTAGGCTAAGAGGAGGAATATGGAATTCTGGAAGGATAAGCAGGTTTTTTGTTGAGCTGGAGATTATGTTGAAGTTGTTTGGTCTGAGATGGAAGATGGAGGAGGTAAAGACCATCGACCAAACTAGTTGTTCCAATCATTGTCAAACTGGGGTAAGCCTGTATAAAGCACAATGAATAGTGAAACCATAAGCAGATGGTTGTACTTCTGACCAGTTTACTCACAGAGACCAGATTGAAACTAAAGGATGGAACTAGCAGAACATCAGTCAAGGTAAGATGTTCTGAGTATTGTACAACCCCTATAGCAGTCACAGCTACTTTACTACCATTAGGCATATGGACAAAAACATCAGAAACGTGTTGAGATTGTAAAAAATGAGCAGGAGAACCGATGATATGATCTGTTGCTCCTGTATCTAATATCCATTTGTTCTGAATATGGAAATTAACAGTAGAGGCATAGTGAAGTGTACCTGTAGAGTCAGGCACCTCAAAGGCATGAGAAGCAACCGAGTTAGCTCTGCTTACAATGTTGTGCTGGCCAGAACCCTCACTTTCATTGGAGACTGAATAGTGAGAAGGATTATTAACCTTGTAAGCATCAGAAAAAGCAGCTTGAGCTGGGACATAATGCTGCTGAACAGAAAATTGATTCTGTTGAGGAGGAAACTGATTCTGAGAGGGAGCTTGGGTTCTTTGTTGAGCTTGAGGATTCATAAACTGCAACATCTTCTGGTAATGTTGCTGAAAGCTCTGCCAATCAGATTGATTGATCATGACAGGACCATTGGAGGAAGATGCTATATCAGTAGAAACACTATTAGCTTGCCTAGAGTTCTGCTGCCTCTTCTTAGACTGATAACCTGGTGGATAGCCATTCTTTTTGTAGCACACATCCTCTGTATGCCCAGTGTAGCCACAGAATGTGCAAACAGGCTTCTTCCCTTGTTTTTTGAACCCTTGACCAGTACCCTGAACCCCTAAGTGTGACCCTGATGCCTTGGTGAAGAAGGCCATACTGTCCGAAGCAGGGTTAGGAGCAGGTTGTGGCTTAGGCAACAGACCATTCTCTCTTTCGTGTTGTACCGTCATGGCAAACACCTTGTTAATGGGAGACAATGGCTCTAAGAGCATAACTGTGGATCTAGGGCCATTAAAATTGTCATTCAGATTGCGCAAGAATCGAATCACCTTATCATTCATGTAGTCTTTTCTCAAAGAAGCTAAAACACAATGACAGGTAACGCCGCAATCACAGTCAGGAATGAAACGATAGTTGGCTAGCTTATCCCACAAAGCTCTTTGCTTAGAATAATATTGAGAGACGCTCATTGTACCTTGTTTGAGGTTGAAGATAGCCTCTTGTAGATCATCGATACGGACAGAATCGCCTTGTGAAAACTGCTCACGGAGCTCAGTCCAAGCACCAATGGCGGTGGTAACGTACAAGATGCTTTCAGCGATGGTTGGATTGACCGAGCGCTGAATCCAACTGAGGAGTAGCTTGTTGTTGCGATTCCATGCGGGATCTTGCCATTGAGAAACCCTAACTTGTTCTTACCATCGATCACCAGAATCATCGATCTTTCCCAGCTAGAAAAGTTGTTCTCGTTGAGCGGCTGGGAAACGAGGCATTGACCCCAATTCTCCGATGGATGGATGAAGAATGGCGACGCCGGATCGGAAATCGGTGTGCCGTTGTAGAGAATCACGTCGGAATTGCTCTGGCGACCTCCAGTGTGAGGATTTGCATTCGCGGCATCGTCGCCGGAAGAGAAAGTCTCGTGAATCGCCATAGGAGGACGATGAACTCAAGAATAGAAGAAGAATGAGGAAGCAAAAGGAGAAGATGCAGAAGCGAGAGAGAGAGAGACGAAGATCGGCTCAGGAGTGCTCTGATACCATGTCAGATTTCTGATTAATTCCTCTTTTCTTGATTGAGAGAATGAAAAACAATCTTACATTGTTCAGCCAGAGTAGCTGGCTTTTATATTGTTCCTACAAAGCAGACGAATTAGTTACAAGTCTCTAACTAACCTAGCTAAATTACACAATGGTACCTAACCTATTTACATTCTATCTACATAAGTTTATGCCTATTACAAATTGATACATACTATCTCTAATACCGGGGAAGCTCCTCCCGTCGGCGGTGGTGCAGCCGGATGGGCTGCCGAATCTCATGCGCCAGACGAGAAGAATGAGGGAGGCCAGGGGCATTCTCGTAAATACGTTCCACGACTTCGAGTCCCACGCGATTTCTTCCCTGGCGACAGGTCAAACCCCTCCGCTCTACACGGTGGGGCCCATCATTGACCTCAAGCTGAAGAAGGGAGATCGTACAGCTGGCGAGAAGGAGGTCGTGGATTGGCTGGACCGGCAACCAGATTCGTCGGTGGTGTTCCTCTGCTTCGGGAGCATGGTAAGCTTCGGTGAGGAGCAGGTGAAGGAGATCGCCAACGCGCTGGAAGTCAGCGGGCAGAGGTTTCTATGGTCTCTTAGAAAGCCACCGCAGAAGGGCAAAGCGGAGTTCTTCCCATCCGAATACGACGACGTTAAGGAGGCGTTGCCGGATGGGTTCCTGGACCGGACAGCTGGGCTCGGGAAGGTGATCGGGTGGGCCTCACAGACGAGGATCTTGGCCCATCCATCTGTCGGTGGGATCGTGTCTCACTGCGGGTGGAACTCGACGTTGGAGAGCACGTGGTTCGGTGTTCCGGTTGCCACATGGCCGATGCGCGCGGAGCAGCAGCTGAATGCGGTTACGTTGGTGAGGGAGCTTGAGGTGGCGGTGGAGATTAGGATGAGCTACCGGTTGTTGAGCGGAGAGGTGGTGCCGGCGGAGGAGATTGAGAGAGGGATAAGATTCTTGATGTCGACGGAGAATAAGGGGAGAAGAAAAAAGGCCAAGGAGATGAGTGACAAGTGTCGGAAGGCGGTGGAAGACGGCGGGTCTTCTTATCGCTCCATTGGTCGTTTTATCGAGGATGTGATTAATTAGTAAACACTCCATGAAGTGTCAAATTGGCTACCTTTTCCCCCTTCTCTCTCTAACTTCTCTCTAGATTCTCTTTTCTTAATTTTGCGTGGGGCTGCCGCTGAAATCCGTCCGGCAACCAAAATTAGCTCTCTGATCACCTTTGTTTTGTTGCATGTTTTCCATTATGTATGTTTTGCCTCTGTTTTTTGTTCCAGTGTCATCTTCTTCCTTCAGTCTCTTTTTGAGATGTCTTTGGTTGCTGACTCACTGTTATAAGTATGTTTCTCTATATCTTAAGGGCTTTCCATCTCGTGGTGGAAAAAATGAGGTTGGTTTCGACTTCACAATCAGCTTGTCTTCTCGACTCTCGTCTACTTCCTTGTTGCATAGCAACAAATCTTGATGTTTTGAAGATGCAGTAGCCCTCCTTAGATTGACTGCGCCAATGTCTTTGAAGAATTAAACATTTAGCATATCATCAACAACAAACCCTAAATCTTTTTCTTACCTTCATGCTCATATAATCACATTAGTACCTTTCCAATCCAATCTGATCTCTTCGTCTCCCTCTCACATGTCACATCCTCCCCTCATGAGCAGGCAAAGTACTAACATTCTTTATTTTCATTAGTCCAACTATGATCCTTAAAATCATTTGATTGACCAACCTCATGAGGAGGTTAAGTGCTTATTTATGTGATTGATTGATAAACTAGCATGACAAAGGCAAAGCATTTAAGTAAATGCTTTGCCGATTTTGCATAAACTAGAATGTGGCGAAAGGGGGTTCGGTTAGCCTGACTACCCCTAAAGGGGTAGTGATTTTTGACACCCCCTTTATGATTGGTCAATTTTATTTCCAATCATTGGCATGTATTAATTAAACTGGTTTTTTATTTTGTTTAATCTTGTAATTTGGGGTCTCTCACCACATTGGAAAAGAGAAAGAATCTGGGGAAAAACGAAATCACCCCATTAATTACATAATTAATTTCTCTCACTGGTACATTAATTACACGTACCACTCCACTGGTACACGTACCACTCCACTGGTGCGAGCAATCCACAAGGTAGGTTAGAGTGAGAACAATACCAGTGCAATGATATTTTTCATAACAATGATAAACAATAACGGAGCAACAATGCAGTACCACTTCAATGATACAAATACCACTCCACTGGTACACGTACCACTCCACTGGTACACGTACCACTCCATTGGTAGGTCAGAGGCGATCCCAGGATGGCGGCAGCTGGAGATAGGAGGATGGTGGTGGGGGAAGGCGCTGGAGGGTTTTGGTCGTTTCAAAGTAGAGGAGGGTTCTGGTTAAAATGAAATCAAAATGGAAAGAGAGCCCAAATGGAGAGAGAAGGAGACGAAAGGAAGAAAAAAAGGCAATTAATTGCACATTGGGGGGGAGCTTTTTTCTGATTCCCCATATTCTTTCCTTTTCCAATGTGGGTGAGAGACCCCAAATTACAAGATTAAAAAAAATAAAAAACCAGTTTAATTAATACTTGCCAATGATTGGAAATAAAATTGGTCAATCATAAAGGGGGTGTCGAAAATCACTACCCCTTTAGGGGTTAACATAATATCCGACCCCGGCGAAAGGTGATTTGAATCAAGGCACTACTATTCTCCCCGACATAAGCTAAAGATTTTCTTTCATTTATTGTTGTAATGTTCTCTCAAGTAAAACTCAGATGTAATTGTATATGAGCTCTAAATTACAAATACAAAATCATTCATAAAAAAAATTGTTGTGCGAACTAATATTTTCCATCAGGCTGAGACTAGTTCGTGTAGGATTGTCCATACGACACTCAAATTCTACCATGATTGAAGTCCGACAAATACTAGCCGTTGATATTCACGGCATAATCTTATTATCCATTAAATCCGCAATCAAACGGCCCATAGAAGAGTAAGAGGACCCACCTTCGGTCAACGCTTCTCTGCCCTTCTCGCTCATCTCTTTCACCTTCTTCCCCATCCCATCCGTTTCCGCCGCCGCCATCAACCGCCGGATCCCTCCCTCGATCTCCTCCGCCGTCACGATCAACCCGCCGTCCCTCCGGTAATCAATCCTTATCTCTTCCGCCAACTCCAACTCCTTCACCAATTTGAACGCGTTCAGCTGCTGCTCCGCGTAAATCGGCCACGCCGCCATCGGGACCCCGAACCAAATGCTCTCCAGCGTCGAGTTCCAACCGCAGTGCGACACGAATCCCCTCACCGACCGGTGAGCCAGGACCGCCGTCTGCGGCGCCCACCCGATCACCTTCCCTCTCCCCGCCGTTCGCTCCAGAAATCCTCCCGGCAGCAAATCACCGAACGAATCGGCGCCGTTTCCGTTTAGAACCTCCATTGCTGGTGCTTTCTCTGGAGATCGGCGGACAGACCACAGGAACCTCTCGCCGCTGCGTTCCAGCGCCGCCGCGATCTCTTTCAATTGCTCCTCGCAGAAGCTTCCCAGGCTCCCAAAACAGAGGAAAACCACCGAAGACGGCGGCTGAGCGTCCAGCCACTCGATGATTTCGTTCTTTCCCTTCGTCTCGTGACCTTCCCCTTTCAGATTCAGAATCGGACCGACCGGGTAAACGGGAGGATTTCCACCGCTGGATAAGCAATCGACGGCGTAGGATTCGAGCTCGAGGTACGTATTTACAATAATACCCCTGGCTTCTCTTATCCTTCTGGTGGTTTCGACCAGCACTTTGAGCCACTCTTCCTCCACCGCGTCGGAAGGAAGGTTCTTCCCCGGGAGGGGATTCATCAGGCCCGGGATCTCCAGCTCGGCGTCGGAGTCCCTCAGCGCAATCGGATCGATTTCCCGCCGGTCGTAGAGATTCTGGAGGTGGAACATGAACCCGAGGAAAGTGGCGCCGCAGGTGTAGAAGACGTAGGAAGGAACGCCGAATTCGTTGGCCACGTCGACGATTGAGGTGCAGAACATGTCGAGCACGAGGCCGGCGAGTCTCGAGTCCGATTGGGTGAGGGCCGAAACGATTTCTCGGATGTGGGATTTGTGGGCGGCGATGTGGGAGAGGAGGAGCTGGCCCGGGGTGGCGTTCGGGTCGGATTCGACGGCGGGGAGGTCGACGAATCGGATCTGGTTGGAGTTTTTGGAATCAGGGGCCAGGGAGTGGGAAGTGAAGGCGGGAGCTACGGATTCGTAGGGTCGTTTCATGATGCATACGGTGATGGAAAGTCTGCTGTCGTGGTTGACGAGCTGCTTGGCGAGCTCCAGCATTGCGAAGAGGTGGCCGGCGCCGGGGGATGGGACGAAAACCAGCTCCGCCGTCTTCATTTTGGTTTTGGCTCGGAGGAAGGAAGGAGTGGGAAGGAGTGACTCGGAGAGTGAGCTTTGTAAAAAATGTGTCTATGCCAAAAATGGGTATAATATTAAGATTCTAACGCGGCACTATGCTTTGTATAAAACTAGCATTAGTACTATAAAATTGAATTCACACATGACACACAACACAACCATACTTTGACATTAGAGATAGGCAATTTTGAATTTGATTTGTCAGATATTACTCGACGTACATAGAGTGGAACGAGTTACATACATTATTTTCATTAGGGCTGTCAACTCGGTTTCCGGTTAGCGGCTAACCGGCCGGTCTAACTGGTAACCGCCGGTTAGCGGCTAACCGAAAAACCGAAGGGAAGTAGTCTCGGTCGGTGGTCGGGAATTGGGTCTGGTCAGCCGGTTAGCCGAGTAACCGAAGCCGGTTAACCGGCTAACCGGCTCTAACCGACCGAGAAATACGACGTCGTTTTGGCCTGGGGAGAAACGACCCTAGACCTAGTCACTCGCGTATCGTCGACAGCCACCAGAAGTCCAGAACCCATCCGCCATCCCTATCTTTTTCCTTCCTCCTCCTCAATCCTCAACCTCTCGACTCTCGTTACTGGCGAAATCCGCGGCCACCAGAGTCGCCATCGTCGGCCAGAGCACAGCCGCCGCCCGCCAGTCACCAATCGCCGGCCGCGCCTCCAGTCGCCGGGCCACCCTCTACCGCCAGCCCGCCAGCCTCCAGTCGCCGAGCCAGCCTCCAATCGCGCCGCCAGTCACCAATCGCCGCCGCCAGTCACCAATCGCCGCCAGCCCAGTCACCAATCGTGCGGCGGCGCCTCCATTCGAGTCCATTTCTTCATCGATTTGGTCATCCCTCCTCCTCCATCCCCCATCCTTCTGCTTCCCTTGTTCGATTCCAACTCCATCTCTTCCTTCCCCGGCCCCCTGTTTCAATTTCTTTTTTTTTTTTGTTTTTTAAATTTGAATCTCTGGATGGATAATTTTGGCAAGTAGCGATTAAGTATACTTCTTTTCCAGTGTTTTTTTTCTTAATGGGTCTTTGATTTTGAACAACAGACAAACAACATTGTTTCTGGCTGAGTGTTTAGTGGTTTTCTTTGTCTCTTCGGTCGGTTTCCGTTCGGTTTTCGGTCGCGACGGGTTAACCGTGCATTAACCGAAACCGCCCGGTCGGTTTTACGGATAACCGATGCGCAGGGTCGGTCGGTGGACGGTAAGGGCTGGTCTGGTCTCGGTTTAACCGAAAACCGAGAAATCGGTTTTCGGTTAAACCGAAACCGACCGGTTGACAGCCCTAATTTTCATCGTGCCCCATTCTTTCTTCGTCGTATCTAGATTGGCCTCAACATAATTACTCTATTTTTGCTTGTCTTGAGTAATATTTTCACCCATCGGAATTTTGAATAGGTGCAAGACTAGATCTTTTAACTATGTAGGCTTAATTATTCATTCTCTTATCACTATTTTACATCTACGATGAGTTTTCTTTTTAATTAAGAATGGAAATTAACATAATCTACAAACTCATTTTTATTATCTCAATATTTTTAATATCTCAATATTAAGCTATAATTCAATAAACTTCTTACTTATTGTTCTTGTTGGGAAGAGTTAAGTTATTAATTATTTGGATTAAAATGCGAATTATTTGGAATAAAATGTGAAAGTATAATAAACGACTATTAATTCACATGTAGTAAAAAGTGCTATATCTTCTTCTAGCGCATTGCGCCTACGCTTGCTTAGGCCACACATAAATTAGTCTCCAATATCCGTCTCACGCTTAACAATTTCTTGAACCTTGATTTAGTAATTTTGTTATGCTTAGATGGATATGATTTTGGACATGAGCTTTTATTATTTCATTTTTAATGAATCACTAACTCCCATCGAGAAACGACTCATGCAGAGTGCAGGAATACGGCAGAGATCAATCTTCATTGTTTAAGAGATTGTGGAAGGGCCAAGGCAGCGTGGAACATGATTTTGGAACAACGAGGAAGATGGAGCTTTTTCAACAGCGATCTTGATACCTGGATGAAGGACAACATTCTGTATGAATCAGCTGGAAATTGGCCTGGCCAATGGAATAGTTTCTTCAGCCTAATCCTTTGGTACCTTTGGAAGTGCAGAAACGAGAGGATTTTTAAAGGGGTGAAGCTGACTATCTTGATACCTTAGAGTGGGTGAAAGCTTGGAATCCAGCTCTGAAGTCTTCCTCAATGAATGTGAATCAGACAAGAGTGGAGGAGCTAATTAGTTGGGTTAAACCCCCTCAAGGCTGGCACAAATTGAATACAGATGGCGCAGAGCAACCCAGGAATTGTTACGGTAGGGGGCGTACTCCAAGATCATGATGGAGATTGGATTGGAGGATTATGCAGCAAGCTTGGATCTGGTACAACTTTATTGGTTGAATTATGGGGCATTTTGCAGGGATTGAAGTTGGCTTGGAAGAAGGGTTCTCGCTTCCTCATTCTTGAGACCAACTCAAAGTTAGCTCTACAACTCATTGATAAGAGAAACGACAGAGTGCATCCGTATGCAATAATCCTGGGCACTATCAGACGAATGTTGACCAGAAAATGGATGGTTCAATTAGTGTATAAGTATCGCGGACTGGCTCTCGAAGCACGGTCTCGTCTATCCTTTCGGTACGTATGAGCTAATCGATCCCCCATTGGAGCTTGACAGAATTTGCAGAAAAGACATGATATGAGTCAGCTTTCCTAGACAAGTTACTAGAAACCGAAGCTAATTAGGCTGTGTTCCCCTGTAATTCCTATTCGATCCCCTGGTTTGGTTCTGATTTGGTATGTCTTGTTTTATGCTACTAATCGTTAGGAATCTGTAACTGTTTGGCGGTTTGCCTTCTTTAAATATAAAAAAAAACTCTCATCGAGAAATTAACTAGACAATTAGTGCTTCGAAACGTTTATTTTTTTCATTTAATTTGTAGCGGTGATGATGATTTATTGAACTGGTGACCTAAACGTTGCCCATTTGGCTTCTCTTGAATTTGTATATAAGCAAAGTCTCATTTTTATAATCCACACTTAACATTCGTTTTTCAATTTCACTTCTTATCCTTCTAAGTTCTTAAGAACACAAAAGGATTAATCGGAGATGGCAACTATAAAGCACGAAACCAGGGTAATATTTCTTTGCTTCGTTTGTTTGTACAATTTAGTCTCCACATGTTTGTTTCGAGTGTCTGTGAAACTGTATGGGCGGTGCGATCGGAATATCTTTTATTGGAGACTTGATCGACAAATAAATTTTAGTGATATGAAACTATGCAAATGCAATCATGATTTCAGTATAAAATACTATATTATTAACTTCGATACGATTTTACAATTCTCACTTTTTTTACCGTTCAATGAACTGGTGTGTCCTCACAGCCTGTTTGGATACAATTCCGGAAGAAATGGAAATGGAAATAGAATTCAATTTTTTATTTTTATAGAATTCCATTTCCAATTCTAGTGTTTGGTATAACTCCTACAACTATGGAAATGAATTGCACTTTTACCCATAATGAATAATGTAATATGTTTGTTTTATTTTGGGAAATGAAATATGAATGAGAGAGAAAGAGAGTAAAATGATAGTGGGTCAACAAAATAATAAAAAGTATTGATGGGTCCCACTAATTCCATCTTCATTCTCTCAATTCCTATCACTTTTAATAGGAATTGTAATTCCCATATTTTAGACCCATTAGAATTCAATTCTCAACCTTTTTATTATTCCAAACATAATATATGGAAATGGAATTGGCTTTTTTGTCAATTCAAACAGGCTGTCACATATTTACATCGTAATTCATACAATTCTATCAATTATTCACACAAATCCAATAAAATAATTATTCACATAGATTCACTTATTGAATTTAGCTTAACAATTAGCTATCAGCAGAGTACTTAGAAACTAACTAGTATTTTTTTCCCTTGGTAAATCCGATGGAAGAAAGTGGAGTTGGTGTTCATACCATCGCCGGCGGTGGGCCACATAACGGCGCTGGCGGAACTGGCCCGGCAGCTCGCCACCAGAGACCCCAACCTCTCCATCACCATCCTCATCATGCACCTCCCCCACGGCGACGCCAACTACGCCAGCCACACCAAATCACTCGCCGCCGCCGCGCTCTCCGACCGGGTCAAGTTCGTCGACCTCCCACCCAACGACGCCGCCGTCGACCCCACCGTGAAAGACGTCGTCAAATTCTTCATGGACTCCTACAAATCCCACGTCCGCGACGCCGTCGCCAAGCTCGTCCAGGCCTCCCCTCTCGTCTCCGGGCTCCTCGTCGACATGTTCTGCACCACATTCATCGACGTCGCCGACGAATTCGGCCTCCCCAGCTACATCTTCTACACCTCCGGCGCCGGATGCCTCAATCTCACCCTCCATCTCCAGAATCTCCGGGACAACCACAACACACCGGTCACCGATTTCAACAACCCGGAAGCCAATTGGAACATCGAGGGCTTCAAGAACTCGATTCCGGGCAAAATCCTGCCTCGTCCTGTTCTCAACCCATTCCTCTGCGACGGATTTTTGGATTTCGTCAAACGGTACCGAGACGCAAAGGGAATTTTAATCAACACGTTTCCAGATCTGGAAACCACCACAATCGAGCACCTATCGAAGGGAGAAACCCCTCCGGTCTACCCGGTCGGACCAATTTTAGAGCTGAAGCGGGAAGACGCTACCGGAGAAGGAAGAGGCAGCGAGATCTTGACCTGGCTCAACGAACAACCGCCTTCCTCTGTTCTCTTCCTCTGCTTCGGAAGCAACGGTTGCTTCAACGAAACCCAAGTGAAGGAAATCGCCACCGCCCTCGAAAATTCCGGGTTCAGGTTCCTCTGGTCCTTGCGCCGCCCACCTCCGAGAGGCGTGGTCTCGTTCCCCCTGGACTACGAGAACCCGGCCGAGATCCTGCCGGAAGGGTTTCTGGAGAGGACGGCCGGAGTAGGGAAAATCATCGGGTGGGCGCCGCAGGCCGCGATTCTGGCCCACCCGGCGGTGGGTGGGTTCGTGTCGCACTGCGGGTGGAACTCGATTCTGGAGAGCCTGTGGTTCGGGGTGCCGATCGCGGCGTGGCCGATCGACGGGGAGCAGCAGCTGAACGCGTTTCAGATGGTGGTGGAGTGGGGGTTGGGGGTGGATGTGAAGATGGAGTACAGCAAGGAGTTCGGAATGGCGGAGGAGGATGTTATTGTGGTGGGGAGCGAGGAGATTGAGAAGGGGATTAAGGGTTTGATGGCGGAAGGGAGCGAGGCGAGGGAGAAGGTGAAGAAGTTGAGCGACCGGAGCAGGGATGCGCTGGCGGAAGGTGGGTCGGCCGAGGTCGCTTTGAACCGGTTCATCGCCGATGTGATTAAGAATTTGGGGTGAACTAATTTGAGTGATTTAAGGAGACGGGAATCACAAACTTCATAATAAATGTATTCATTTATATTCAACATTCTGATTCAAATGCAGAGAAGAATGCAAAAATGTTCACAGAATAAATGCAGTAACTTACGCAGCAAGTTATCAGGAGTACACTAAAGAGATGCCGAATCGTCTGACTCGGAAGTTGTTCTCGAATTTCTCGACGGAAGCTTCATCTCCAGCAGATTGAGTATAGAGTCGGAACGAAACTTCCCGCCCAGCATATTTCGCATACCAATCTTCTTCTTCTTCTTCTTCTTCTTCTTCATCATCATCGTCGTCTACTTCTTGTTCTGCATCTTTGGTCCCTCGCAACCTGTTGTCAGCCCTCAGATAAACAAGGTCTGACGTGCTGCATTCGAACAGAATTTCGAGAGGAAACCTCCAAGAACTGACTGTGGTGCGTTGGCTAGTGCCTCCGTCAATCCACCCACGGGTAGTTTCAGATACGATGCTGCAATCCAATGTCGCAAGGGCATCCACGAAGCCCCCGCCTGAGTAAGAACATACAATGCCAAAAGCAATCCCCTTAACTAGTCCTTTACTGAAGTTTGCAGCAGGTAGATTCATCGTCACGCAACATTCTTCCTTGCCATACACGTGATTGTAGCAAAACGATTCCGGAAGCTCACTCCTCGAATATATAATTATAGCCTGTGACAACATGACCTTTGCTCTTAATTTGATGCATGTATCGTATTACTGATGCTAATTCGCTTAAACTAGAGAGAATTGATATAGGAATCGTCTGTCTCATTAGCAAGCATTTGTGTTAAGTTGATAACATCATAAGCGAATGTGCAATAGGGGACAATACCTCAGAACGTGGAGACCTTGCAGCCTGCTCAGGCAAATGTGTGATGACTCGATCAAGCAAATTCCGATCCAATTTCAGGCAACGATCAGCAATCAAGCGACACCAACTCATTAGCTCCAAAATGTTGCTCGGCAGAGATTCTAACGATGTGCAATCACCTACATCTAGAAACCCCAGCTTCAGAGGGAGTTGTGGTAAAGACCGAATACTCCAACACCCCCTCAGAAACAATGCAGCTAAGCTGGAAAGCTTATGAATGTCACTCGGAACAGACTGGAGGCCTTGGCAGTAAGACAAATCCAAAAATGTGAGATGTTCCAGTTCCTGGATACATGAAGGCAGAGACTTGATAGCTGTACCACTAAAACTGAGGCTCAATAAAGATTTCAAATTGTTGATGCTAGATGGAACACTCTTTAAACTTGTGCCTCCGACTATGACTAGCCGAGTAAATCCCTCCACGGGGTCCGAGATTTCTGGCAAACTTTCGATCAACGGGCTCCCCTGAATGATGAGTTCAGTGGAGACCATTTTCCAGATACAACTTGGTAGATTTTTTAGTTGAGAGTTGCGAACCAACACGAGCCGACGAAATCTTGGCAACAATTCAGAAGAAGCTCGATCGTCATTGAAATCGATATTTACTATCACGGTACGGCATAGATGAAGCTTGATGAGGCTTGCTGAAATGTTGGGGAAGGAAGAGATGTTTTTGCCACACAGATGCAAGGTGGCACCTCGTTTGAGCTTGTGGATTGCACTTGGTAGCTCTCTGATGGGGGTCCCGTCTAAATCCAGAAGGTCCAACTCTGTTGAGTTCATCTCCGGACAATGGGAGATCTTTGGACAATTGGACAACTCAACAAGCTTGAGGAAGCTCGAGTCAAATTTTCCTGGGAGACTCTCCAGATTAATGCAGTCTCTGATGTCCAACGTTGTTAACTTGTCAAGAAGTTGAACATCAGAAGGTATTTCAACTAGGCTTTTACATCCCTTGAGCAGGAGTTCCTCGAGATTCGAAGACCTTGATAAGTCGGGGATCGCAGTTAGATTTATGCAGCAGGAGAGGTCAAGCAGCAGCAGATTCACAAGGTTTGGCTGCCAAGAAGGGGAACAAAAAAATCAAGGTAAATTGAATAATCCATCTGGAGGAGGGGCTAAATAATAAATTTAGTTACTGAACTCGCACGTAGCCCCAACATTGGGCACGGCGCATATGTATTGAGACAACTAAAGCATTAAACTCGCCCTAATAGATCACCTTCGCATAATCATTTCCTCGATTAGCACTTATTCTCATGTGGCTTTTATGGCAGCCTATAAACACTGATTAAAGGCTCAGCCACATCAGTAACATTAATGACAGAAAAAATGATGATGGAGGGAACACAAATGCTAACTACAACTCATTAGTTCAAGTTTCTGGTCTTAGTTGTCTCAGTACAGAGTTAAATTTGCAGTACGAAACATATAGATGTCGCATTAGTAACTAATCCTCCATCAGAAACAGTGAGAACGATGCTAAGTAATATTGACACACCAAATTGGGCAAGTGTTTTCTGATATACCTGAACTCCCGCCCAGCACTTTTCAATTGGACTATGGCGAATAACAAGTCTGACAAGGTTTTCTGGAGAAAATGTTGATGGCAGAGATGTAGAAGGGTATCCATCCCAGTGCAAGCACGTTAACCCATCAGGAAGTGAGTTGAGGCCACCATGTGGTAGAAGGATTTTCTTGTGAATTGGGAAGGCACTGGAACTTTTTGGCCTCCAGAACTTCAGGAATCTAAGACGGTTCATCTCTTTAAAGGCATTTCCTTTCAACTCCATCTCTTTGACTTTGGAAAGGTCCAAGGATATACCTTCCACTGTTCTATCTCCCTTCAAGTCATTAGCTTCCCAATATGTCTCTACAGCTTTGAAAAGGTTCAAACCAAATACCTTCCAAGCTTTCCCCCTCTGGTTTGCCAATAACTTGTGTACATCGTCAGGATCCTCCAACCGACTGCGATTTTCAAGCTTCAGTTGCCCGTTAATAATGCTCCAAGCCATCTCCTTCAGCAGATCATGCACCTCAATCATCTCTCCTTCCTTGTTGGAAACACACAATAGCGACTTATACACTAAAGCATTCACTTTATCATGCACTAAGGGATAACTAGTTGCCATGTATTTGATCAATGCAGACCTTTGCATCCCACTGTGGAAACAAGCAACATCTAAGAACAATCTCTGCTCGTCAGCTGCCAACATATCAAAACTTTTCTGAAGAAGATGATGGACATCCAGATTTTGAATCTGTCCCAATTCGCCCAACAAATCTCTCCAGTAATCCCTCTGTTGACAAAACAATGCTCCCCCAAGAACTCTGAGGGCTAAAGGGTTTCCTTTGCAATATGACACCGCCAAATGTAACAAATGCATCCACTCATCAGAAGGAAGGGGTTTTCCCCGGAATGCAAACATGCCAAATAGTCTAAGAGATTCATCGCTGTCCAAACATTCGACATGATATATCTTTGCCATTGCATACTTGAGCACGCTTCGATCTCTAGTCGTCATGATAATTCTACTTCCAGGAGCAAAGAGTTTGGTGAGATCCAACACTTCTCCTAATAGTAGCTGTTCTAATTGCGATGAAGTTTGCACATCATCAAGAACAAGGAACACCCTCAAACGAGAAAGGCGCGTCCTTCTGTGAATATTATTTAAATCTCCGCGGCTCAAATCCTTCTCAGACAACAGAATTGAATAGAGTTCTTGTACCACGTCCCCAAACCCGTATTGATTTTCCCAGTTTGCACCGACTCTCTCAACAAAATGTGTTCTGTGTTCTTCCATGGCTGAGAATTTCAGAATTTTATAACACCTTCTTGCCAGAGTTGTTTTCCCTAGACCGCCCATTCCCCAAAGGCCAATAATGCGAATATCATCTGATGTGTTCAGTGCTAACAGTTGCTCAACCTCCTTAACGCGAGAATCCATACCGACCATGTTTTCATATGATATGTTCGGTGGCATGTCATTGAGCTTCTTCATAACATTTTCCACAATCGCCTTAATTAATTCAGAGTCGAACCTGAAAGTTATAAGCCCAAAACACATTATAAATCATATTTCCTGCCAAATCTTCGATAGGAAAATGGGCAGAACATTTTACGTAGATAACTAAAACATCAAAACCATTGTAATAAATCAATCTTAGCATTTTCTGTTCGATAAACTATTTAACCCGTAAATAACAATGGTAAGTAGTATACAGAATGGAATCTGAATTAGTACCCACTTCATCTGTTTGGCGATAAACCCAGCTACATCAGCGACTTCCTTTAAAGCATCCCTCCATCTCGTCTTGCGATCTCCGGTGGCATCCAGAGCATCAACCGCAGCAGCATAAATGCCAGAATCCTCCACCACGTCAGACCAATCCACATTACAGAAAACCGGCAGCACCACATGTCCAAAATCTTTCATACTTCGGGCAATGGTGGCCACCTCATCGAGGCAACAGGGTGAACTCGCAAAGTTCTCGGAGAAAATCACGATCGAAAGTGCAGATCTTTGTAGGATGGGGAGGAGCTCGTCGATGCAGTCTGCTTTCTGGAGCATTGCATTGAAGGCAGCTTTGATTTTCCTGTCGGAGAGAGCAGCCTTGAGGTGGACTGTAAAACCATGACATGTGTCAGTAGCCCTGAAACACAAGAAAACATCATATTCGCATTCTACACTATACATGGCACTATGATGATGATGATGAGGAGGAGGAGGAGGAGGAGGAGGAGGAGGAGGAGGCACTAAAGCTGTTGAAGAGGAGGAAGCCATTGGACTGGGGGATCTCGATCTGTTTAGTTCTAATTAGCTTGGTCAAAGGTACAGTCTCATAATTATGGAGGGTTGACTTTCTTGAGCTATAATGGTTTCTTTTTCCTAAAGCTATAATGTGTCTTTTCTTAGTTTTCTTTGTGGGGATTGGTTGTACAACTTCTTGTCTCTAATTGTTTAATTTTGCTTCCACCCCTAACCTAATCTGTCTAGTCATCACCAAAGACAAAAAAAAAACCATCCTCCATTTTAAAGTCCCAATTAACGAATAGATTAGGTGGATTGCACACACTTTTCTGAAGAAACGGGGGATAAATAAATAATAACAGTTGGAAAATAACCATAAAGAAAAAACAGTTAGAAAATAAATGCTCAGAGCTAACCTATATCAACATATTTGGACACACAGCGAATTACCAAGTGTTCCAAATGGATAAAAAGAAAGGACAGGCAGATACTGTGCAACCATAAATAGTATCAACATACCAGAAACAGATCATGACCATAGACACGGATTCTTTCCACATTCTCTTCTGCATGGTCCGAAATTATCAAAAGGAATCACTGTCAGTAAAGTAGAAAGGCGCCACATTTTTTGACATCACGGAGAGGACCCACACCTACATCAGCAAAAAACCGAAATGAGACAGTTAGCCCAGCATATTTCTGGTACCAAGAAGCTTCTTCCTCTTCCTCTTCATCTTTCTTGGAATTGCCAAATCTGTCACCAGACCACAGATAAACACGATCGGAGCTGTCAAGAACGTGAAAATTCCAGGAGAAAGATCTCCAATACGTGATCATTTCAGTTTCTATGAAGCAGCCACATAACATAGACATGGAACCACAGGATTGATCCAGTGAATACACAACGCCAAATGCAACTCCCTTTAGTTCCGAACAGTCCATGGGGAGCTCCAATGTCACGTAATTGTTCACTCCCTCCATGTTGGGTGGATCAAACCATTCTGGAATGTCAATCCCAGAGTAGTGGAAACCAACCTGCAACGACAAATTGTCAGCTCCAGAAACGACTCTTATTTAACTTAGTTCATCGTAAGTGCTAACCATACAAACATTTAATATTTAAATACATAATACCCACGGATATGAATATACCTGAGAGTGCTGAGACAAAGCCTGATCAGGGAAATTTGCTACAATTTCGTCAAGTGAGCTCCGGTCCAGGTGCGGGCAATCATCAAACCTCAAGTGCTGAAAACTCAGATTCCCAATGTTCCTCGGTAAAACTTGCAATGAATCGCAATTATTTGCCTTTAAGATATTGAGATTTGGCGGAAGTTTTGGTAATGAACAGATGCTCTTACAGCCCACCAGTGACAATTCGGATAGCCTGGCAAGTTTATGTATGGTGTTCGGGATGGACTCAAGGCTAGTGCAGTAAGACAGATCGAGATAAGAGAGTTGGTCCAATTCCTGGATAATAGAAGGCAGGGACTTAATACCCGTGGCAGGAAAAACAAGAGAGTCCAAAGATTTCATATTGGAAATGCAAGACGAAACATCGGTGATCCTTGCACAACCAGCAATACGAAGGCGAGTCAAGTGCAAAGGCTCTGAGATTTCTGGCAAACAGTCGATCAAAGGGCAATCCTCAACAATAAGTGCAACAGAGACCATCTTCCAGATGGCCTTCGGCAGAGTCTTGAGCTGAGAGTTCTGGACCAAATGCAGTCGATCAAATCTTGGCAGATCAGAACCTTGAAGATGACCAAACTCTAGCTCCTCTATAGCAGTATTGCGCAGACGGAGCAGCTCCAAGCTCGTTGAAATTTTAGGGAAACTAGTGATGTTGGGCCCATAGAGACTTAACACCCCACCCGCCTTAACCTTGTAAATTGCATTCGGCAGGGAATTGATGGGCGTTCCATCTAAATCCAGAACTCGCAACTCTCCTGAATTAACCTCTGGACAGCGTGTTACCTTGGGACAATTGGACAACAGAAGTTGCTTGAGGAACTTCGAGTTGAGTCTGGCTGGGACACGCTGGAGATCTTGACAATCTCTAGCGTCCAACCTTACCAACTTGACAAGAGATTGAATGCTTGCAGGTAACTCAACCAGAGTCTTGCATCCCCGGAGAAGAAGGTGCTCTAGATGTGAAGACCTCAACAGGTTTGGGACAATAGTTAGATTCTCACAGTAAGTGAGGTCAAGCAACATCAGATGCTCAAGCTTAGGCTGCCAAAACACCAACAAAGACAAATAAGGTTAAACAAATCCCAGCATGTACTGGAACTATGAGAAATATACCAAGTATGGTAAACCTTTGAGATAAAAGTTATGACCATTTGTTTATGATGACAGAAGATGGCAAGTGTGTGTTTAGATTATATATACCTGATCTCGCTCCCAGCATCTCTCAATCGGACTATGGCTTATAACGAGGTAGACAAGTTTTTTTGGAGAAAATCCTGATGGTAGAGAAGTTGAAGGGAACTGATCCCAATATAGACCCCTTAACTCATTGGGAAGAGAATTAATGATATCATCTGATAGTTGGATTTTGCGATGCCCATGCCCAAAGCATTTAGGCCAGGCAAATTCAAGCCATCTAAGAGAGTCCATCCCCTCAAAGGCATTGGCTTTCAAATGCATCCTTTCAGCTTTCGAAAGGTCCAAATGGATCCCTTGAGTTGCCCTATCTCCCTAAGAACATAACACGAATTATGACAAAGAAAATCCAACAAGCATATTATAAAACATCAAAATATACTAAAACATTATCAAAATATGTACCTTCCAAATTGTCAACAAGTTGTGAATATCATCAGGATTCTTCAGCCTGCTGCGTTTTCCGACATTTTCTTCCTCATTAACGATGTTCCAAGCCATTTCTCTCAACAACTGATGCACAACAACTATCTCACCTTGAAGCTGGTCAAAAACAGAGATTAACAAGGACCTATCTATCAAATCAATTACTCTACTGTATGCAGAGGTATAACTAGCTTCCATATACTTTATCAATAAAGATCTCACAATCCCATAGAAGGAACAAGCAATATCGAGAAACAATCTTTTATCATCATCTCCCAACTCATCGTAGCTTCTCCGAAGAACATGATGAATTTCTGGTTCTTGAATTTCACTCAATTTCTGCAAGAAACTCCTCCAATACTTTCTATCCTTTGGTAGCAATGTACCTCCTAAAACTTTAAGGGCCAATGGGTTCCCATTGCAGTATGATATAACCTGATGTGACAAATCAATTTGATCATCAATAGCCGAGCCCGGTCGGAAAGCATGTAGTTTGAAAAGTTGAAGAGATTCATCATCACTGAGATGGTCAACAATGTGTATTTCCGCCTTTGCATATTCAAGTACCCTTTGATTTCTAGAGGTCACGATGATTCTGCTGCCTGCAGCAAAGAGTTTTGTAAGATGCAATGCTTCTCTTAAAAGCAACTGCTCCAATTGAGAAGGAGTATGCACATCATCCAGAACAATGAACACCCTCAAGCGGGAAAGACGTGCCCTTCGATATCCAATATTCAAATCTCCATGACTGATATAATTCTCAGATAACAATGCCGAATAGAGTTCTTGCACGAATCCGTCGACAGCATTTTGCTTATCACAATTTTCACCGATCCTCTCAACAAAATGAAACTTGGTGTCTTTTGCTGAGAATCTTAGCTTTTCATAGCAAGCTCTAGCTAAAGTTGTTTTCCCTACACCACCCATTCCCCGAAGCCCAACGATACGGATAGTATCCACTTCACTCATTGCTAATCGCCGCTCAACCTCCAAAACCCGTGAATCCATGCCAACCAAATTGTTGGATTGGATGCTAGACGACATGGCTGCAAGTGTACTCAAAACATCTTCCACAACCTGCTTAACCAATTCAGCATCGTCCCTACGATTCCAGGGGCAAAAACAGAAACCCCCAAATGAGAAAATGGAATGCTAAAGCCCACAGGAAAACCCTCTTTCAAAGGTTCCATCTATCATATGCTCTTCAATTGTAAACTATTGCTCTATATAGATGAATGAGGGGAAAATACATGAGAATGACGCGAAAAAGTGGTACTCACGGAATCGCCTCAGAGGTACGACCAGTCTTATGAGCCACAGCCTTCAAAGCATCCTTCCATTCCTGCTTCCGCTCTTCGGTGGCATCTTCATCGACGAGTTCCGCGATGGTTTTAGCGTAAGCGCCGGAGTCCCCAGCCACGGCGGTCCAATCCACTCTGTAGAAAACTGGCAGCACCCTATGTCCGAATTGGTCAACGCTCCGAACTATGGTGTCCACCTCGTCCAGGCACCAGGTTGAATCGGCGAACTTCTCCGAGAATATGACCACGGAGACCGCCGATCTTCCGAGGACGCAGAGGAGCTCGTTGATGTCCTCCGTAACCGTAAGCATGGTGTCCACGAAGAATCTGATTTGCTTCTCGCGGAGAGCTTCCCTGAGGTGGCTCATGAAATTGAGCCGCGTGTCGCCTCTGAAACACAAGAAGACGTCGTGCTCCCATTTCCCGGTGTACGGCCGAGCAGGAGATGGAGGTGACGACGAAGAAGAAGAGTTTGCCAAGGCCGCCATTAGTGCCCGGGGGAATGTTCAGTTTTATGTGCAGAGTAAGTCAGACAAGGGGTTTGGTTTAGTGCATTAATTTGCAGCAATTAGAGTGCTAAACCTTGTTTAACCCTCTCGATTTTTTATTTGATTAAATACCAATTGACTTGAGAAAAGAGTACTGAATCTCTAGGCGGGGCTAAATACCAATTTCATCACTGAAGTTATTTTTATGCGTCATATTGGTCATCGAACTCATTCCACCTATTCATGCTGATATGAACGGGATATCTTTGGACCTGACGGTCTAAAGCCGTTTTTTTTGGATGAAATCTAAAGCCCATTATACACACCAAAATCAGTTCCCCAATAAGGTCCAGTTGCGGCCCAATGCGATTGTACCAGTTGACTTCACTAAATCTGTGAGAATCTCGGCAAGCTTTCTAATCTTCACGTTCTCCAGTTTCCGTCGCCTCTCTGGTTCGCTCTCCAGCAGGTACTTCGCTTCTTCCCTCACCGGTTCCATCTTTCTCCGGCGATTTCCTGTTTTCGGTTTGTGTTTAGCAATTGGGTTCCGGCCGGGTGCCGCAACTCAAACGTTACCCTTATATCGATTTCACTACCGAGATCGTGATTCTTCGATTCTTCATCCATGGATTTGTGGGGATCGGCCATGTCGTTTCCTGATTGAAGATGCAAATTTTGGGTTCTAAAATTCTCGGCCTGTGTATTCTTTTTTTCCCCTTTTTTCTGAACACTTAGTGCGGCGGAGCATGGAACAAGAATTGGTGACTCACAATGGGGGATGCCATTGCGGCAAAGTGAGATGGCGAGTGCGAGCACCAAGCAGCGTTGTGGCTTGGCACTGCAGCTGTTCCGACTGCTCAATGAGAGGGAACGTCCACTTCATTGTCCCATCCGGGAGCTTCGAGCTGCTTGGGGATTCAGAAAACTACATCACCACCTACACATTCGGCACTCACACAGCCAAACACACCTTCTGCAAGATCTGTGGGATCACTTCCTTCTACACTCCGCGATCCAATCCAGATGGTTTCGCGGTCACGTTCAGGTGCGTGGATCCTGGAACTCTGACCCATGTTGAGATCAAGGAGTTTGACGGCAAGAATTGGGAGGGCTCCTATTCTCAATCAGACATTGCTTCATGCTCAAAGGACGTGGCTTCTTGATTTGGGAATGGGCGAGAGAGAGAGACTAAGCGAAAGAGCATGAACGAAATGGATTGACATGCTTGAAATGTTGATTGTTATCTTAAGCATATGCTCTGTTTTTCTGGTTGCGAATGCCAAGAACGCAAGAAGGACAAGTTGTTTTTCCTCATTTGTGTATAATGGAGTTACTTCTTTCAGAATCAAATTGGTTTATAGGATCACAGTCTGGCTTATATCTTCATTAGGTTCAGCCATTGAAGACGATTAAGGTCCACCCTCTATCAATGCATCATTGACCTTGTCACGAAATCACTTCATCTTCTCCTTGTCCATGCTTCCGTCAAGCTCTTGGTTCCTTCTTCAGCCGCTACACAGTTTCTCCACTTTCCACTATCTTCCATGCCCGTTGATTGACACAAAGTATTAGTAAGATCTTCGAATCACCCGAGATTGTTACATCTAGTAGTAGTAAGATCATAGATCGTTGTTACTCACATCTCCAATAAATTCAGCGATCGAAGACGAAGAAGATCCGCCATCTGTCAATGCACCCCTGACTAGATCACTAAATCCCTTCATTCTCCCCTTCCTGGAGCAATCCTCCATCAAGCTTCTGATTCCTCTCTCCAGTTCCTCAGCCGACACGACCTCCTCACTCTCGCTCCGATAGTCCATCCTAACCTCCGTGGCTATCTCCAGTTCCTCCACCAACAAGAACGCATTGAACTGCTGCTCCGCGTACATCGGCCATGTAGCCATCGGCACCCCAAACCACACGCTCTCCAGCGTCGAATTCCACCCGCAGTGAGATACGAACCCTCCGATCGACTTATGAGCCAGAACAGCCGCCTGTGGCACCCATCCCATCACCCTTCCTACTTCCGCCGTCCGGTCGAGAAACCCTTCCGGCAAAACCTCCCTGACATCTTCATAATCCGTCGGGCTAGCCCACGGTCCTCCTTCCCCAGGTCGACGCAGGGACCATAAAAACCTGTGCCCGCTTCCCTCCAGCGCGGAGGCGATCTCTCTCACCTGCTCCCCACGGAAGGCTCCCATGCTCCCGAAGCAGAGGAACACCACCGACGACTCTGGTTGCTGGTCTAACCATTCGATCGTCTCGTCGTCCTCCCTACGCGACTTCTCGCCCTTCAGGTTCAAAATTGGTCCGACCGGATACACCTTGGGGATGTTCTTCCCACGGGAGAGAGACTCGAGCGCGTACGACTCCAACTCCCTCACCGTATTGACCAGAATACCCTTCGTTTTCCTGAAATTCCTTGTGATTGTGTATACCAAAGCCACCCATTCTTTGTTCAGGAAGCCGGAAGGGATAACCTTACTTGGAACTGGGCGGGTCAAACCGGGGCAAGCCAACTCGGCTTCCTTGAGCTCGGTAACGTCAAACCCTTCCTCGTCGTGGGATTCCTGGACGTGGAGCTGAAATCGGAGGAAAGCGGCGCCGGAGGTGAAGTAAATGTACGAGGGAGCGCCGAATTCCTCCGCCAGATCCAACATCGAGGTGCAGAGCATGTCGAGGACGAAGCCGGCGAGTCGAGCCCCGGAGCGAGCGAGCTCGGCGGAGACGGCTTCTCTGATTCGGGGCTTGTGAGACTCGATCATAGGGGTGAAATTGGCGGCGGGGGATGGCTGGCCTCCGCCGTCGTCTTTGGGGAGGCGGAGGAGGTTCACGCGCGGGGTTGGGGCGAGTGAGTCGATGTAGCGGGTGACGGCGGCGGCTGTGGAGGGGGAGGTGACGATGGGGATGGAGACGGCGAGGGTGGAGTGGCGGCGGACGAGTAGCTTGGCGAGTTCCACCATGGAGACGAGGTGGCCGGCGGCTGGGAATGGGATAAAGATCAATTGATGCTGCTGCTGCTCTGTTTCTTGCTCTGCCATCGTTTAACGAATTAGTAGTCGCCCTTCCGGCGGCGGCGGCGGGGTTTTGAACTGTGGTGTGGGGTTTGGAAAAGAGATGTGGAAGGCGGGGGCTTGGTAATGGATCGGTGGATTATTGTTTTCCGGTGAGAAAAATTTTAGCGGTAAATATTAGGAGGAGGAGGTTAGGAAAGGAAGAGTAGTCGTGGAAGGAAGGAACTGGATGGTATGGAATGGTATTGGCTTTCGTGGCAGCTTCGCAGAGACAGGGACACATTTGTCCTCTTGTGAATGACCAAACGAATATTATCACGTCACTTTATCTTCGGCAAGTGGTCGTAAAGTCCGATTAGGCTCTCGGCCTCTGGCGGGCGGAGAATAGTCCTGCGGAGCAGCTGGTCCTTGTCGTCGTAGCAATAGTACGGTTGGAGGTGGCAATACTGTATGTCACCGTTGACTTGAGGCGATTTGGATAATATGTTCGGGGTAGATACTCACTGACCCATGAGTCAAGAGGAGAGAGAAAAAGGTCACTTTTTGGGTGAGCCGAGAATTTGGGCGGAGGAAGTGGGCGGGTTTTGGGCGGCCCGAAATTTTGGGCGGGAGGTGGGCAGCTTTTTGGGTGGCCCGAATTTTTGGGCGGGAAGTTGGAAAAGGAAGGAATAATTTGGGTCTGGTGGGGGCGGCCCGAAATTTTGGGCGGGAAGTTGAATATGAAGGAACAATTAGGGTTTGGTGGCTTGCAGCCTAGTAAGGGCTGCCCGCCGAGGGCCCATGGGCCGAAGGCTCATAAAACAATTTTTTGGGCCGATATTGACATGACCTGATAGGATATGTTTTTGTAAAAGGACGAATATTGGTATGACATTATGAGATACTAGTCTGGGTTTTATAGATATTTGTTGACATGTGTTGGCATAATATCAATTCCTAATTCCCTTAAGTTTTTTTTTTACACTCGTTCAGTTATGCATTGTCATTAATAGTTGTCTTGTGCAGGGATGTTTGTAGGTTTTCGTCGTCGATGGTGTAAAACAATTTTTTGGGCCGATATTGACATGACCTGATAGGATATGTTTTCGTAAAAGGACGAATATTGGTATGACATTATGAGATACTAGTCTGGGTTTTACAGATATTTGTTGACATGTGTTGGCATAATATCAATTCCTAATTCCCTTAAGTTTTTTTTACACTCGTTCAGTTATGCATTGTCATTAATAGTTGTCTTGTGCAGGGATGTTTGTAGGTTTTCGTCGTCGATGGTGTTCCTTATGGTTGAGAGATCAATTCGCAGTCGGGATGTTGACTACGCAAGTCAGCGAGTCGTGCAATGCACAAGTGCGACTTTTATTGAAAATGATTTGGACTTGTTTTTCATTCACTTTAGCAGGTACGCAGAATATTTATTTGCTTTTCTTTGATATTAGTCTACTTAAATTTTGGATATTTGTCAGCGTTGTCCGGATATTTATATGCTATTGTTAAATATTACTTTGTTTAGTTGAGATATTAATATTGGTTTGAGTGGATATTAGTCTGGGCACTAAACTCTTTCTCGTGCTTTGTAAATGTAGTTTGTTGGCTGAAAAAAGACGCAAGGAGACTGAGTCAGACTACAATGGGAAACAATCGGTTCCTTATATTATGATGGAGGATAGCCCGTTCCTACAACATGCGGCAAAGGTCTTTACTCCTAACATCTTCAATCGGATACAAAATCAGTATTTGAAAACTGAACCCTATCTAAAGGTCTTTACTCCTTGTGCACGTACTTGCGCTGCGACTTCAGCATCTTCTTCTTCCTCATCCTCCTCTGGCTGTGGCGGTGGTGACGGCGGTGGATTTCGTCGATGTCTCTTCACGTTCGTTTTATCCCTGCACGTACAAATATCTAGATATATCAAACAATTATCCAAGCAATTCACAACAGATATCATGCTGGTTAAAAACCAATATCCAGATATATCAAACAATTATCCAGGGAAATCACAACTGATATCATGCTGACCAAAAACCAATATCCAGATATATCAAACAATTATCCAAGCAATTCACAACGGATATCATGCTGGTTAAAAACCAATATCCAGATATAACAAACAATTATCCAGGGAAATCACAACTGATATCATGCTGGTTAAAAACCAATATCCAGATATATCAAACAATTCTCCAGGGAAATCACAATTGATATCATGCTGACCAAAAACCAATATCCAGATATATCAAACAATTATCCAGGCAAGTCACAACTGATCAGTCACAAATGATATCATGCTAATCAAAAACCAATATTCAGATATATCAAACAATTATCCAGGCAAGTTACAAATGATATCATGCTGATAAAAACCAATATCCAGATATATCAAACAATTATCCAGGCAAGTCAGAACTCATATCATGTTGATTAAAAACCAATATCCAGATATATCAAACAATTATCCAGGCAAGTCAGAACTCATATCATGCTGAGTAAAAACCAATATCCAGATATATCAAAGAAACAATCCAAGCAAAATACAATGGATATCCATAATCAAAATAAATAATATCGGAACGCACACAAAATAGATTATAACATGTATAAGAGATTTAGAGTGCACCATTGATAAATCTCTGCACATACAAATACCCAGATCCTATCAAACAACTATCCAAGAAAGTCATAACTGATATCATGCTCAAACAAAACCAATATCAAGATACATTAAAAAACAACCCAGGCAAAAAACAACGGATATCCAGAAGGAACAGAATGCATATCTTGCCGAACAGAACTAATATCGGAAGGAACACAAAGCAAATCCACAAAACCCAGAAATAACACCCACAGAAGAACGAACTCATATCCAGTGACATATAAGTTACCACAAAATAAATATTTCACCCACGAACCCAAAAGACAAATCCACAAATGGAAAACCCGATCGTAGCCATGAAACCCTAACTCAAATATGTCCAAACGAAAATAAATATCCATGAAGACAAATCCACAAAAGGAAAACCCAGATCAAGTCGTAGCCATGAAACCCTAACTCAAATTTGTCGAAGAGAAAATGAATATCCATGAACAAAGACAGTTACCTTAGTCCAAATCCCGCCCAAATCCCGCCCTTCGTCGCCGCCCAAATCCCGCTTCGGTCGCCGCCGGTTCGCTCGCCGCCGCAGGAACTCGCCGCCGCTTAGCTCGCCGCACCACTCGCCGCCGCTTCGCTCGCCGCACCACTCGCCGCCGCTTCGCTCGCTCGCCGCCGCTAAATATTTGTTCTTCGTCGGTTTCGTGAGAGGAGAGGGGAAGTGAGAGAGAGGGGAAGTGAGAGAGAGGGGAAGTCGAAGTGAGGGAGAGGCAACAGAGAGGGGAAGTCGAAGTGGGGGAGAGAGGGGAATTGGGGGTTTGATTTTTGAATTGTGGGCCCGGTGGGCTTGGTCAGCCGTGGGCTCGACCAGCCGACCCAAACCGGCTCACCTTCCTCTACCCAAATCAAGAGCCAGCTTACCCTTGCCCACGTGGACAACAAATCCACCGTGTGAGTATCTACTCACACTTTGGCCTGTGAGCAGCATAACTACATTGAGATTGGTGTTAGATTTTTATTTTAATAGGACATTGATAGTTAGGGCTGGCTATTTGGTCCGGACTGTTTGGTTTTATCCGAAGTCGGACTGTATAATTCGGACCGGGACCGGATATCAAAGAATTCAATATCATATTCGGGTTTAGATTTGAGGTAAAAAAAACCGGATAAGAGAACCCCACACTCAAATCCTCACAAAGTCAATCTAAAATCAAGATCAAATTGGGACCAGATCGGGTCAAGATCGGACCGGATTAAGACCGGATTGTATCCAATCCAATCTTTGGTCCTTATATTGCCGAAAAGACCGGACTGAAACCGAATCAATTTGTTCCAATTTAACCGGACCGAACCGTATAGCCACCCCTATTGATAGTAGGTAGTCTTGTTCATCGAAATTAATAGGTATCTATAAATTTGCGTATATCCAGTAAGTTGAGTTGGGTTGAGGTTTCAAAACTTGTTGAATATTTCTCCGATTTTTAGTATTGACACATTGTTAAATTTTGTCCATTGACCTTTGTTGGTTTTAAACTTGCCCATTTCGAATAATTATTAGACCCCAATAGGCAATAGCTAATAACACATCACTTCTCAACAAACTAATAATGACAACAACAATCGACTTTATTCTCAAACTAGAGAATGTGCCATACTCGTTTTCTTTTGCATGGACTTTGATGACTTCACTCATCAAGTTGGATAACAGAGTGTGTGCCAAATGGTCTGAGTACAAAAGGAAAATGAAGATACATTTATAGTATTTAATACAAAATTAAGCATAAAATCCAAAGATATTATATATGAAGCTTCCAAAATAAGGCATACACTTGACAGCAAGAATTGGGAGGGCTCCTATTCTCAATCAGACATTGCTTCATGCTCAAAGGACGTGGCTTCTTGAAATTGGAAGATGATTAAGATCCACCATCCATCAATGCATATCATTGACCTTGTAACGAAATTCCTTCATCTTGTCCTTGCTCAAGCTCTTTGTCTATGGCTCCATCAAGCTCTTGGTTCCTCTCTTGATTTCTTCAGCCGTCTCAATCTCTTTGCTTTCACTCCTATAATTGATCTTGATATCTTCAACAAACTCAGCGATTGAAGATGATGAAGATCCGCCATCCATCAACGCAGCCCTGACCTTGTTGCGAAATTCTTTCATCCTCTCCGTCCTCGGGTTGTTTTGCTCCATCAAGCTCCCGATTCCTCTCTCGATTTCTTCGGCTCTCACAATCTCTCCGCTTTCAGTTCGATAATCCATCCTGATCTCTGCGGCGATCTCCAGCTCCTTCACCAGCAAGAAAGCGTTGAATTGCTGCTCCGCGTACATTGGCCACGCGGCCATGGGCACCCCGAACCACATGCTCTCCAGCGTCGAATTCCACCCGCAGTGTGACACGAACCCTCCAATGGACCCGTGAGCCAGCATGGCCGCCTGTGGTGCCCACCCTATCACCCTGCCAACCTCCATCATACGATCAACAAACCCTTCTGGCAGAACCTCCCTAACATCTCCGTAATCGGTTGTTTTTGGGAGAAGCGCCGGTCCCCCTTCGAGTCGACGCAAGGACCACAGAAACCTCTGGCCACTGCCCTCCAGAGCGCGAGCGATCTCTTTCACTTGTTCCGCACAGAACCCTCCCATGCTCCCGAAGCAGAGGAACACTACCGACGACTCCGGCTGCCGGTCCAGCCATCGAATCACCTTGCCGTCCTCAAATCCGCTCGACTCGAACGACGTGTCGCCGGACTTCAGATTCAAAATGGGTCCCACCGGATACACCTTCGGGTTCTCGGTCCGGGAGAGGGAGTCGACCGCATATGACTCCAACTCCTTCACCGTATTGACCAAAATGCCCTTGCTTTTCCTGAAATCTCTTGCCATTCTATACGATGCAGCCGCCCATTCCTCGTGCAGAAGACCTGAAGGCAAGACCTTACCCGGGAGCGGGCGGACCAAACCCGGGAAAACCAACTCAGCCTCGGTGGACTCCGCGGCGGCGGCTGCGTCGAATCCTTCCTCGTCGTGCAACGTCTGGATATGGAACGTGAAGCCGAGAAAAGCGGCGCCGGAGGGGAAGAAAAGGTACGAGGGAACGCCCAACTCTTCCGCCACGTCCAGCATTGAGGTGCAGAACATGTCCAGGACGAACCCGGCGAGCCGAGCTGTCGGGGTGAACTCCAGCAGGGCTTCTCTGACACGTGTCCTTTGGGATTCGATCATGGAGACAGCAGCATTGCCGGCTGGGAGCGAAGGGTCGTCCTCGCCGCGGAGGCGGAGGAGGCTGACGCGCGGGGTGGCTGCGGCGGCGAGTGAGTCGGCGTAGCGGGTGACGGCGGCGGTGGCGGTGGAGGGGGAGGTGATGATGACGAGAGAGATGACGAGGGTGGAGTGGCGGTGGACGAGTAGCTTGGCGAGCTCCACCATGGAGACGAGGTGGCCGGCGGATGGGAATGGGATGAACACCAAATGCTGCTGCTGCTGATGTTCTTCTTGCACTATTGCCATTGCTTGATGATCGATTGACCCCATGTTAATTCTCTTCCCGCGGCCGCGATGTTAATTCGTTTGAGGGGCTGCGGGGGGTTATTTAAACTGAGTGGAATTGGGGATAAGACAGAAGGCAGGGGGAAGCCGGCAGGCCGTGGAACGAAGCAGATTGTTAGCTTGGCCGGCCGGCGTTGGTTCTTTCCTGCCAGATGCCGCCGATCTATTTGAATTCTTGATTAATTTGCGCAGATACGAAAGACGGCCGCATTTGTCCTTCTGTATTACGATTTACGACCAAAAGGAATCATATTTTTGTTGGACATGAAGGCTGATGATCGGGTGGAATCAAGAATAGAATCCTTGTGGGAAACGGATTGAAACTTGGCGCCAAATAAGTGTTTGAAGTTTGGAGTCGGTCTGTCTTAAGTTAAACTGCGTCGTTTGAATAAGTTCAGTTTGGTACCTATAGTTATGTATTGTGCTGGTAGAGTCCCTCTGCAAGTTTTTTTTTTGTTGTTGTTGGAGAATTCATTAATGGGATTTCATTTAAATTAAGTTAAAAGTGCCTCAAGGGCTACAGCATCAGCTACCATCAAAGGCAATTGACCATTGTCAAAATACAGTTCATCTTCTACGGACTGTAAATGGGCTAAGAGATGGGCTGCATTGTTTGCTTCCCTGTAAGTGAACAACCATTCTCGAATATCCATTTCTTCCGCCTCCTTCAGAATCTCAGAACAGAGAGTCCCCAGTTCTGTTCTGTGTTGAATGCCCTGCTTCAAAATCTCAACAAGCTTTCTGCAATTCGATTCCACCACGATCGGTCCAACCCCTTTCTGTTTTGCTATTCGAATACCATGCAATATCGCCATACCTTCAGCCAAATCCGGGGGCCATTTTACTCTTATTCTTTTGTTTGAGCAAAGATTGGAGTGCCTTCCCAGTCTCTCAGAATGCATCCTAGCCCCACCTCACCTGTGCTATTTATCCCAACATCTGTGTTTAGTTTCAACTAGGGGTGGTAATCGGTTTCCCGGTTATCGGTATGACCGGTTACTGGTTATACCGATAACCGGGAAACTCGGTTGTCGGATGGTAAAAGCAGCACACCGGTATATCGCCTCCCCACCCGGTAAATACCATCGGTGGGACGGTTAACCGGATACCGTGACGGGACACGCAAAACGCAGCGCTTAGGGAGGGACGGAGGGTAAAGCAAAAAAACCCTAAAAGCTAAACGACCTTCTCCATCGACCATCGACCATCATCTCGTCACACTCACACAACCCAGCCGCCGAGACCCGAGATTCCTGGAGAGGAGACTGACGCATCAGCCGCCATCGCCCATCGCCCATCGCCCATCGGCATCGCCAATGCAGTCAAAATCAGGATTTTGATCGTAAAATCGTAGGATTTTAGGATTTTACTTAGGGATTCCGATCCTGATTTTACTATAAAATCGGTGGACCTTAAAATCGTTCAAAATCGGGATTAAAATCGTTAAAATCGTAAAATCGTACCAAAATCGGGATTTTGATCCTATGTGAACAAAATAGGGAGCTTGAGCCAATTCAAAAGAAGCAGAACTGTTTTGGTGGAAAGGAAATGACGGGAATCTTCTCATATATTTTTCCTATTAAAAGAACATTTGAAAAGAAGAATAAGAACTAATTATGGTTCGGTCAACCCCTTTCCTTCTCCTTGTTTAACTCATCGGTAAAACAATTATCAGAATATTGTAAGTGTGTAAGAATTAACATCATTATTAATAAATTATTTGATTAATGAATATATTTGTACCAAACCAATGACATTAATTATTTTATTGGATTTCAGTTATTCTTAGTTTTAAATCATGCTTAGTAGATGATGTCGGGATACTACTTTGAGGTAAACTACCTAGACACAACATGAAAAACATGAGCCAAACCCCATGAGCTCTATCCCTTCCTCATAAATTATTTTGAGTTACGCATTAAATAACAATTAAAATGATGATTTTGGAACATTAATCTTGAAAATTATCACTTTAAAGGTTATAAGTCTTTGTGTTATTAATTATTTACCTTATTAATATTAGTATATGTTAATTTCTATATGGTACTTAAACTCCTACGATTCCGATTTTACCCCAATTTTCGATTTTAGGTAAAATCCCGATTTTAACTGCTTTGGGCATCGCCCATCCGCCGCCCTGCGACGCCGCTCCGCCTCCTTCCACCCTTCCCTCTCTTGTTCTCCTCCCTCTCCAACTCAGCAGACGGCCGACGCTCTGCCCTCCCGCTCTTGCCGGACGCCTTCCTCTTCCCCAGTCGCCGCCGCTCTGTAAGTCGCCTTCTCCTTCTCTTGCCTTCATCTTTCTTCTTCCCCTAGTCCCTGCCCCTCCTGTTTGAGAAGGTGTTTGTTAATTTTGGTGCCTTGGTGTTGGTGTCGAACAGAGGCCAGAGGGCAGAGGCAGAGGCGCAGAGCTACCGAGCTCCTGGAGGCTAAACAGAGACTAGAGAACAACAGCCACCAACCCGCAGGCCACAGCACTGCAGAACAAGAACTGAACAGCAGCAGCCAGCCAGCAGATTGGATCATTCGAAAAAAATGTATGTGAAATTGTGAATGAATGTGATGTTTGGAAATTGGAGCTTTGAATTTGAGTATTTGACATTGCTTCGTAGGAATCAGGACTGAATGTTTAGTTTAGGGCTGAATTTTTGGTTGATTTTTGGTTGGATTTTGACTTCTTATTCATGCTTTCAGTTAATCCTTATTGTACATGTATTGACTTCTCATTCATGCCAATCCTATTCCTATAATCCTATAATAATAGTCAAGTAATCCTTTGTGCTTGCTAAACTTGCTGTATGATCCAGAAAGTGCACTTATTGAGTATTGAATTCATTTTGCTAAGTTTTTGGCTTATCAAATAGTTAAATAGACTGTTAGTCTAATGGGAAGTTAGTAATGAGATTATGTTACCATTTGTGATTTGTGTTGGTCTAATGGGAAGTTAATGAGATTATCTGATTATGTTACCATTTCTTGTACTTTTGTAGGACGAAAAAATCAAAGAAAGCTGGTTCGCTACCTCCTTGTCCTCGAAGCTCTTCTAAGAAAGGGAAGGCTTCAACTAGTGCACCTTCCACTATGGCAAATCCACCTCCATCTCCAGCAAATCCACCTCCATCTGAAGCAAATCCGGCTACTACTACAGCTACTGGTGTTGCTAGTGAGGTACCTGGTGTGCAAAAGAAAATTGACAAGGGAAAGAGGAAGAAGACGTCTAAGTGGTGGATCCCTTATGATGAGGTTCTAGTGGATGACTATCCATTTGGAAAATGCAAACGGTGTGGGACGCTGATCAAAGCCCATTCTACCAACAATGGCACTACTGATTTGAAAAACCATCATCTGACGTGCGAGAGGAGGTCGAAGGAATCTAGTGGGCAGTCGGTATTAAACTATCAAGCTAGTGGGACTGGTGAGGTAGGATCTCTTACTCCGTGGAAGTTTGATCAGAACAAAGCTAGACATGCATTAGCTATCAGGATAATCTTGGATGAGCTTTCGTTTCGATTTGTTGAACGGGAAGGATTTAGGAGATTTATGGAAGTATCACAGCCTTTGTTTGTGATACCTGGAAGGCAAAACAATTAGATCTGATTGTTATGTCATTTTTCTGGAGAAGAAAGAGTTGTTGATTGAGTTTTTTAACTCAAAGTGCAAAGGAAGGATTTCTATCACTACAGATACATGGACTAGTGATAATAACCAGAATTATATGTGTGTGACTGCACATTTTATTGGAGATGATTGGAAACTGCAGAAGAGGATTATTTGTTTTGTTCCCATTACCAGTCATACAGGGAGAAATATTGCAGATACTTTGGCAGCATGTCTACAAGAATGGAAAGTGAAGAATCTGTTTTGCATGACAATGGATAATGCCACTTCCAATGATGTGCTTGCTGACTATATGAGAAGAAAACTGAAAGGGTGGGGATCGGATTTGCTAGATGGGAAGTATCTGCAGTAAGATGTGTGGCACATATAATCAATCTGGTCGTCTCTGATGGTTTGAAAGAGGTTGGAGTTGCTGTGGAGAGGGTAAGGGATTGTGTGAAATGGGTGAAGTCATCACCAGCTCGGAGTGCAAAGTTCAAGTCTAGCATCGACTACCTAGAGATGGATGGTAGAAGACTTGTGTCTTTGGATGTTCCGACTAGGTGGAATTCTACCTATCTGATGTTGGAGTCTGCAGAGAGGTTTGAGAAGGTGTTTTCTCTGATGTATGATAGTCCTACTGATGCTTCCTTTCGAGACTATGTGGACTCCAAGAAGGGTCTTCCATCTAGAGAAGATTGGAGCAACATTAGGCGTCTCATGAAGTACCTGAAGTTCTTCTATGATCTTACTCTTCGTGTATCAGGTATGTGAATGAACTATCAAATTTTAAAATTCATTTCTTAAAGTTAAAGTTTATGATTTCTCACTTACATTTTTTCTTTGTATCAGGTACATCATATGCCACTGCACATACTTTCTGCAGAGCCATTGTTGATATTCATGAAGTGATTGCTACTTTGAAGAAGGATGCAGATGAACAGATACAAAGAATGGCAGAAAGAATAGAGGCAAAGGTGAGAAAGTATTGGTTTGAGAATGATGTTGATGAGGAGGAGGATAACCTTAGAATAAATATGATAGTTTACATGGCCTGTGTACTTGATCCAAGGCGTAAA